ACTGCCAGGATGGGCTACAAAGTGAGACGACACAAACTCAGTGACCAAAACTGAGCCCCGTACACACTAGAATAAAAATGACACAATGCCTCATGAATGTGTAATTTTGTGTTGCCTATGTGTTACAGTAATATTACTTTGGAATATACTCAGTTAAATATTAAAATGCAAAAATTACTTCTTGGCCTTTTGACTAAGATCAGAAGTAGAAATTGCAAAGAAAAAAGATTTTTTTTGCTAGATTTTAATGCTATTACATTAAATTTAGAAATCAGACAGAATGTGCATTCTTACCCATTGGCTCTACTCAGCCAAGTCTAGGATTCCTTATTTGAATTTTTTTTCTTTCTTTTAGACTCAGGGTCAGCCACTCAAGGGCTGGGTTACAGGTGTGCACCCCAACACTCAGCAGTTTTGGTTTTATTGGACTTCCTAAGTGACCCTGACCACAGTAATTCACATAAAGGGCTTCAAAATACATAATCTTATTATGATGCCTATACTTCAGGCCTCACCTCCCACCACAGTCAGGAACTGGTGGCAATTGTTAAAAATAGTTTTTAAGATTTAGTTTACTGATGTGTATGTATGTGCATTTTGTGGGAATATATGTTAGGAAAGGGTATCAGAGCCCCTGGAGCTGGGGTTACAAGCAGTTGTGTCCTTCCAAGGTGGGAACTGGAAACCAAGCTTGGCCCTCTGGGTAGATGAGCAAATGTGCTTAACCTCTGAGCCATCTCTCCAGCACACCATGGTGATTTCTTGCAAGCTAAAAGCACAGCCTATTATTTTCAGGCCATGAGTTGGACTCTGGAACGCAAAGCAAGCAGCAAATCCTTTTCTCTGGTGCTAGAATTCTAAAGACATGAGCAGAGGACACAGACTGAGTTGCCCAAAGCGGTCTAGAGGGAGGGAAGTGAAAACTTGTTACATCTACAAGAACAGTTAGAAACAGCGTCGGGAAGCACTCCACCACAGCCACCACAGGGTATTCTGCAACCCAGCCTCGTGCCCGAAGGAGTCCCATGCTGCGGGCAGCCACAGGCCAGCTGCTATTGTCCACAGTGCATGGCAACTAAGGGACAGGCAAGCACGCTCAGTTTTTACACACACACACACACACACACACACACACACACACACACACACACACACACACACACACACCAAGTGCCAGGGCCAGGCGTGACTTCAGAAGAACCTACTCCAGCTTCTCACCCAGAGGCAAAGCAAGGCATATGCAGAGATGGCCCCATCCAGCCACCAGATGCTGAAAGATCACCTGAGATTCCAAGCCAGCAAACCACAGTCCCAGACCAATACCCTTCTATCACCAGATGGTACACGCTCTAACTTGCCTAGCCCCAAACTGGTCCCAGAGCTGGGTGGGCAGGGGGTATTCTGCATGATATAAACAGGCTGGCATCAGGAGTGCAACTCCAGCTAAGTCATTCACTCTGCTTTTGTCTGCCCTCCTTCACCTGAGAGATGTCCCCAGTACACCAAGCTGAAATATTGTTAGGAAGATAAAATAAATGGCAGGCGCGTTGCCTGGCACACAGTGGACTCTCAGTGATAGTAGTGATTGTTACCATGGAGACACTCTGGACCAGACAAAGATTCTTTACACAAACTTTTCAGTGCCTTTCCCAGTTAACACCCTACAGGAGTGTCCAGATTTTCGACAACTTGGCACCTCAAGCCAGGGTCACTGTATTAGTCGGATTCTCTAGAGTCGGATTCTCTAGAACTGACTAGAACCCAGTAGTTGTTCAGGCCACAGGGTTGGATGTCTCAGCTGGTCTTTATTCGGTACTTGCCAGAATCCTGAAGAAGTAGGTTCTAATTACAGTGAAGGAATGGGTTTGTTAGCAAGAGCAAGCAGGCAGAGAGCTCTCCCTTCTTCCATGTCCTTTATACAGGCTGCCAGCAGAAGGTGTGGCCCAGATTAAAGGTGGATCTTCCCATCTCAAAAGACCTGGATTAAAAGTGGGTCTTCCCATTTCAAATTATTTAATTAAGAAAAAAATCCCTCACAGATGTACCCAGCTGCTTGGGTTTGGGTTAATTCCAGCTCTAGCCAAGTTAACGACAAAGAATGGTCATCACAGTCACCCAGGAGAAGGGAATCTCAATTGAGAAAATGCCTACATCAGATTGCCCTATTGGTACATCTGTAAAGCATTTCCTTGATTAATGACTGACGTGGGAGGGCCCAGTTCACTATAGGTGGTACCACCCATGAGCAAGTGGTCCTGGTTGGTGTAAGGAAGCGGACTGAGCAATCACGGGGAGCAAGCCAGGAAGCAGTGTTCCTCCTCCATGGCCTCTACTTCAGGTCCTGCCTTGCTGATTCCTGCCCCAATGCCCTTCATTATAAGCTATAAACGTAATAAAGCCTCTCCTACCCAAGTTGCTTTTGGCCACCGTAACACAGCAACAGAAAGCCAACTAGGACAAGGACTGAGATGGGTCTCTAACTTGGAAATGTTGAGCTATGTGCCAAAGCCCTGCAATGCCCCCATACAGGCAGACTGCCGAACTCACGGAGAAAGCAGCACAGAGGAGCGTCCCCCCAACTCCCTCCCCCCAGGAGCAGGTCATTGAGTTCTGGCTTGGGTGTCCAGGCTTCCAAGAGCAATGTGTTTGGGGTAGCCTCAGATTCAGCATTCTGTGGTTTCCATGCTAGCTAGGTACCTGACGTGCCAATCTGTGATGCGGAGGTCGGCATTTTGCATCTGGCCAAAGCAAGGAGGCTAAACGTGACTCTCCTTCACAGGAGAAAGAAAACTCACTTCAGGAACGCGGTTCTAGAAAGGGTTAGCAGAAGCTTCGGGGGCTGGTGAAAACAGAGACAAAGCCATTCCCCAGCCCAGCACAAGGTCTGGCTTCAAGACCGAGAAGAAGCAACAGCAGCCAGGAAGCTTAAGAGCTGAGACCCACATGAGGTAGAAGTTGGGGCAAAAAGGAAGAAAACGGGGTTCTGGCAAGACAGCTGTCAGTAAAATCTTGCCTTGCAAACACAAGGACCTGAGTTCAATTCCCGAATCTAAGAGACAAAGTCAGCACGACGACGATGCCCTCATAATCCTGGTGCCGGAGAGGAGCAGACAGGTGAATCCATGGAGCTCATGGCCAGCCCGTCCTAACCAATCAGCAAGCTCGAGGCCAAGGAGACTCTGTCTCAGCAAAGGTAGATAGTGTCTAGGGAACATCACCTGAGGTGGTGCTCTGACTTTCACACACACACAAACACAGAGAAAGGAGAGGGAGGAAGATGGGGGACAGGGAAAGAGGGAAGAGAGGGGGTAGGAGGGGGAAAGGATTAGGAAAGAGGGAAAAGGAGAAAGAGAAGGAAAACATAACTGTATTTAGGTCAGCTCTCTACCCAGCACGGCCATTTCACCTGCAACATCCCCCAAGGTAATCAATTAAATGCCCAATGACAATTCCATGTGGCAACAGGGAGCTCCACACAGTGTCCCAACACAGAACTGATTCCTTGCAAGTTTTCATGCTCAAAACCACTTCCCTGACTTTAGTGATCTCAACTGTACTCTCCAGAATAACAATAAATCCCTCTCTCCCGGACTCGGGGCTAGACAAAGACAGCTAAACATAGATGAGGCCGAACCAACAGCCACAGGGTTTAAGGAGAAAATAGAGACACAAAAACAAAGAGGCTGCAGCAGGCACATACGTCACCAGGGCAGACACAGCCTCAAGTAAAAGCTAAGTGCTGAGAGCCGCGCCTCTTACTTTCAACCTCAAGAACATCTGTAAAGAAACAGGGTCCAGGGCTGAGATGTAGTCCAGTGGAAGAGTGCTTGCTCATTGTGTCCAAGGCCCTGGGTTCCATCCAAACAAAAAACCCTCTATGCTAAATAGACCTGTTCGTTACTGTAAATTAGAATTCAAACAGGAGCCGAAAGAAGTCTTGGTCGTGAGAAAGATAAGTTGCCAATGTCTAGTTTAATCATAATGGGGGTGCGGGGGAAGCAAGGTGCGTTCAAGACAATCAGGAAATAAGTACAGGTAAAATTCCTTAAACAGACCTCAATGATGAGAATGCCGAGAGAAAAAAAGAACCCCAGGGAACTCTATCAGCCCTATTACCGTACACTGAAGAATGTAAACCCAGCTGAGGATTCTGAGTCACCTAAGGCGTCAAAGCCAGAGGTAAAAGCTAAAACACTACGCGATTCCCCAGTGTCAGTTTCTTCCAGGACACTATGTTGCTATCCTGTTTCAACAAGCTTCCCCCCCCCCGACGCCCCCCCCCAAAAAAAATCCATCCACATAAGCCGTCGCTACCAAAAGCTGCCAAATTAAGGAAAACAAAACAAAGCAAACGGTCTTCAAGTTCACGTGAGGGCTTCTCCACGCCCTGGCCCCTCTAGCCTGTTTCAGCTCCTCCTTCATATTTCCGTGTGACTTCCACAAAACTGCAGGACTGTTAAAAACGAAGCCTACAGACTGATGAGTGTGCAAAAAAAGAAAAAAACCATCAGCGAACAGAACCACACCCAGAGCCCAAGCCTGGCGTCGAGAACCCAGGCAGAGCGGACGCGACCCACGGCAGAAGGGACAAGTGGCTCTTCTCCGGGCGAGTTTCCCCGCAGGAGACGTGGCAGAAAGCAAACAATTGCCGGAACTGACACCCTGCCGCGGGGATATCTCGGAAGCCCCTACACAGCCCTGGGCCTCAGTTTCCCCTCCTATCGGAGGAGGGGAGTTGCAGTCTGGTACCCTGTGACCCCAAGGCAAGGGCATGGCTCGTCTAGCCGCATTGGGAAACGTGGGGTTGACCGGAGCTGAGCATCGGTGAGACCCTCTCCATCGGGGAACCGCGACTGCACACCTGTCAAAGGGGCTCGGGAGACCCCACCCCACGGGTGACCTGTCCCTGAGCAGCAGCACTGGCTTAGCGGGAGGACGCGGTACCCGGCGCTGCAGCGGGAGATGACTCCGGACTGCAGTGCAAGGCGTGCACTACTCACCACTCGGCCCCGTCCGGCCCGGGCTCCGGCTCCAGCTCAACCCACCCCGCGCAGCCTCAGCGCCGACCCCTAGCCATCGTTTCTTAGTCGCCTGGACAGCCGCTTCCGGGCCCCGTCACGTGATGCCGGCTCCCCAGCCCAAGTCATGTGCTGCCGCGCTCCACGCTCCTCCTCCCAGGCCCTTGTTCCGCAGCGCCACCTGGCGGTCTGCAGCCGCTGCTGCAGAAAGGGCCGCACTCCTGGGACCACCACAGCTAAGGCGACCTTGACTGGGGGCGGGGGCGGGGTGGGGGGGCTGTCCCCATTTTTTGCAACGTATATCAATGAGCTTGGACACGTTTATAACCACAAATATGCACCTTTGGGGGGCGGGGAATAATGCGGCCAGGCCTGGTGGTACAAGATTGCTATCCCAGAGCTGGGAAAAAGGAAAGTTCAAGACCTGTTTGGGTACAGAGTGAGTTCAAGGCCAGCTTGGTTGACTTAAAAACACCTTATTTCAACTTAATTTTTTTAAAATCTATTTATTATATGAGAATTAGTATTTTTGCCTGCATGTATATCTGTGTAAGGGTGTCAGGTCCCCTGGAACTGGAAATACAGACAGTTGTGAGCTGCCATGTGGGTACTGGGAACTGAACCTGAGTCCTCTGGAAGAGCAAGTCAGTGCTCTTAACCACTGAGCCATCTCTCCAGCCCTCAATTTAAGTTTTTTTACATGGAAGGTGTGTGTGCTGGAGAAATGGTTCACTGGGTATAATGAGGACCTGAGTTAAGATTCCTAGCACCCACATTAAAAAGGCAAGCATGACAATGTGTGCCATAACACCAGACCTGGGGGCCAGAGGCACAGAGATCCCTGGGCCTTTTCAGCAACTAACTGATCTGGACAAAACAGTGGACTCCAGTTCAGTGAGAGACCCTGGCTGAAAAAAAAAAAAAAAGATGGAGGGAGACAAAAAAAAGTCACCATCTGATGTCCTTCTGCCCCCCCACCAAACACACACACACACACACACACACACACACACACACACACACACACATACATATACTCCATACACCACACACACACACATACTCCATACACCGCACACACACATATACTCCATACCACACACACACAAATACTCCATACACCACACGCACACACATATACTCCATACACCACACACACACACATATACTCCATACACCACACACACACATATACTCCATACACCACACACATACATATACTCCATACACCACACACACACATACATATACTCCATACACCACACACACAGAAGCACACACATATCCATGCATGCATATACTCCATACACCACACACAGATACACACACATACATATGCATACATATACTCCATACACTGCACACACACACAGGTACACACACATACCCATGCATACATATACTACATACTCCATCACACATATGCATATACTCCATACACCACACACATACTTCACACACACACACACACACACACACACACACACACACACACACAGTAATTAACAAATAAATGTGACTTTTTTAAGAAAGGAAAAGAAAAAGCAATACAACTTCCAGAGTCCCTCTCCACGCTGGCTGGTCCGAGATCCCCACCCAGGAGTGGTATCTGGAAAGACACAGGGAGATTTGGATTCTCCTCCTGCTGAGAGCCCACGTCAGCAGAAGGGCTTGATGTGCTGAGTGTCAGTCCTGCACTTGCTGCAGTGTGGCAGAGAGTAACCCCCGGCCTGTCTGTCGCTATCACTTCCCGCTGGGTGGCTTCTGAGCTCCCTGTGGGTTCCCCATCTAGAAAGTACTGCTTTTCCCCATGTGGAAGCAAAGCTCAGTTCTTCCCCTTCCCTGGTCATTCGCAAGTCACATAACATCTATCACTTAAAGGAGCCTCCTTCTGCACCTAACAGTAGGGGGTCACTTCTATTCTCCCCTAAACCCCACCCATGCCCCACCCTCAAGGGTGATGGGTCCTGAAACATCATGAACTCTGCTCAGATCTGCTCTCCTTAGCTGGTACATTGTTCTCTGTTCCATTTTGGGTACACTCAGCTTCCATCCCTTGTGCTGAAGGTCTTGTATCTTACAACGTGCCTGGGCCCGTGCAAAGCTCCCTTGTATGTTAACTGGTTCAGTCACCATGTGGACCTTCAAGATACATGTCAGAATGCTGGCGGTGGCCAATCCAGCATCCACTTTCCCCGAGGAGGCTTCCAGGCCCTGGCTGCAGCGAACGCCATGCTGCTATTGCAGGACAGTAACCACGGAGGCCGGGACACAGAAAAAGCCAGGCCCTCTTTTGTCAGGATCCCAAGAACAAAATGTCACTGTTCACGGACCTTTGCTAGAGCAGAAGCGTTCAGCACTGCTAGAGATTCAAATATTTTGGAAGCCACAGCTACATGATTCAAGAACCCATTAAGTAATGGGAATGATGTAGACACATTTTCATTTTGGAACAACAATTAGAAAAGAGGAAATGGCTATGAAGAAGGCTAGGCTCCATGAGGACATCATGAGCTGTGCTACAGAGTCGAGCAACAGTAGCGAAATAATGGCCTTGGAGGCCAGAGTGAAAGGACTGGGCCAGCTCCGCAGGACTGGGAGGTGTCTGCCCCCAGTTAGCAGCTCAGCCATTCTGCCTGCCCTCACCGTGTTTTTTGAGAGAGAGTCTCTCACTGGCCTGGAACTCACCAAGTAAACTGTACTGGGGTCCCCTGAGCCCCAGGGATCTGCCAGTCTTCACCTCCCAGCACTGGGGTTACAAGCCAGTGCCGCTGTGTCCAGCTTTTTTATATAGGTGCTGGGGATCAAACTCGAGTCTCCGTGCTTGCACAGTGGGCACTTTCTCAACCAAGCCATCTCCCTAACCTGTTTTGACGCTTTTCTTATGGTTTTTGAGACCCTGGAAGGAGACCGTGCAATTTTTTTTTTTAAATACTGCAAATAATATTTTTGCAGCAAAGTATTTGAAGATACATTATGGCAAAGTATCAAAGACACAATCAAGGCTGGAGCTACAGCTCAGGGGCAGAGAGCCTGCCTAGGGTGAGTGTGTGTGTGTGTGTGTGTGTGTGTGTGTGTGTGTGTGTGTGTGTGTGTGTGTAGCATCGTTCATGTCATGTGATGCAACACAGGTGAGTGCCACCAGAAGCATCTGGACTCCATTCCCAGTTTAAAAAAAAAAAAAGCTATTAAAGTTACAGACACAGCAATTGAGGTCCCAGGAAAAATGTCTTCAAACTATTCAAGAGTCCATTTGTCTGGGGTTAAATTGGACTGTCCCAACAGTAACACCAGCACTCCCACACTTAGTGTGAAGGAGAAGTGGAGGATCCTGTAGGAGCACAGGGCTGGGGATAGGGAGCATGACGCCAAAATGCCAAGGGGTGCACCAGCTTACAACATGCACTGACCCAGGCAAAACCAAATGACAGGAGTGTCGGAGCCCGTGGGCCCAGGTGAGGCACAATCCTGTCCTTGGTACCCAACCAAGGTTGGCACAGCTAGGCAGGTCCTAAGGTAACTGGAGCTCCTGAGACAACATCAGTCTTGTTCTTTTATATCAAAAGCTTTCAAAATGTCATCATTTTCTACCTGCTGGGACGTTGGCAAGTCGGGAAAGCACTGGGTAAGAGAAGCATTCTAAGTATGTTTTGTTCAGCTGGAGACATGAGAATCAAAGAGGCTGTGTGACCTTCAGGATTATAATGGAATTATCCTAGGCAATCAGGGCTGTATGGGGTAAAACAAAGCTACCTGAACTGTGGGTTGTGGCCCTCTACGGCATCTTGTAACTAACGGTGGGGTTGTGAAAACTTAGTACTGGTCAAAGGTTTCTAAATGTGCAGTGACAAAAAAAATTGCTTCAAAATCAAATTTACCCTGAATCTGGGGCATTTCTATGAGTGCTTACCATAGTTGTATGAAATGATTTGACTCTGAGAACATTAACACACATGCTGTGTACATGCTCATGGCCACACAACACCAAGGACTGTAGCATGAAACACCTCAGCTGTATTCCAAATTTTTGCATTATATGTTATAAACTGCAATATTTTTACTGTATGTTCAGTTCCTACTCTTACAGAAACATAAAGCTGAGTTGTGAAAAACAAAGACTTTTAATATTTTCCTAGGGTCACTACTCAGCATGTGTCAAATCAGTCTGTCTTTGGATTGGATTAGGAGGTTTAATTTTTAAAATTGTGTTTTGGGGACTGGAGAGATAGCCCAGAAATTAAAAGTCCTTGCTGTTCTTGAAGGGAACCCAGGCTCAGTTCCTAGCACCTACACAGAGGCTCACAACCACCAGTAATTTCAGTTCCAGGGGATCCCATGCTCTGTTCTGCCCTCCGCTCTTGTGGAACAGAATATTTGTTTAACTATGTAAAGATGTGTTGCATTTTTTTGTGTTGCATAATAATTGTTTAACTATGTAAAGATGTGTTGCTGTTTTACCTTGCCTGCTTAAGGCACCTGATTGGTTTAATAAAAAGCTGAACGGTCAATAGCTAGGCAGAGGAGGGATAAGCAGGGTTGGTGGCCAGAAAGAAAAGTGGAGCCACCCAGCCAGATGAGGGCCAGCCAGCTGGGGGCCAGACAGACAGACACAGAGGAAGCAGGATGGACAGTACATAGTTGAGGTAAACAAGCCTCAGGGCAGCATATAGATTAATAGAAATGGGTTAATTTAAGTTTAAAAAAAAAAAGAGCTAAGTAGAAGCAAGCCTAAGCTAAGGCCAAGTACTCATAATTAATGATAAGTCTCCATGTCATGATCTAGGGGCTGGTGGTTCTAAAAACCCTGCTACATTTGATGGCTCCTGCACACATGTGTGGTACATATATAGGCAAGCAGGTGCACACACATACATACATACATACATACATACATACATACATACATATAGTTCTTTTTAATTTTTCAAATTGTGATTTAGTTGCTGACCTGAGTGTCATTTTTAAAAATCATTAAGTGTCTTGACTTAAGACAAATTTTCCAACAATTTCTGAAATGACCCTACACATATTTCTACCATTTCATACTATGTATTTATCCAAAGCAACGTTCTCAGAATTGATGATTATAAGATTGACAGAAAAATTTGTTTTGTTTTGTTTTGTTTTGTTTTTTGAGACATAGTCTCTCTGTGTCAGTTCTCAACCTTCTTAATGCTTCAATCCTTTAATACAGTTCCTCATGTTGTGGTGACCCTCAACCATAAAATTATTTTTGTTGCTACCGTTATGAATCGTAATGTAAATATATGATATGCAGGATATCTGATATGCAACCCCTGTGAAAGGGTTGTTCGACCCCTAAAGGGGTTGTACCCCACAGGTTGAGAAGCACTGCTCTGTGAAGTCCAAGCTGTCTTGGAATTCAATATGTAGGTCATGCGGGCCCCAAACTCACAGAGATCTGCCCGTCTCTACCTCCTTAGTGCTGGGATTAAAGGCGTGCACCAACCATGCCCAGGAACAGAACAGTTTTTTTTTAATGTATTTATGATCTGTTACTAGTAAACATTTGATGCTTATATGTATTTTAGATACTGTATACCCAGATTCACAAAACAAAACAAAACTTCCTCAGGCAGAAAGGGGTCAGAGTTGGGAAGAAGGTTAAGAAACTCTAATGTAGACAAAATGATGATGATGGCCTCCAGAGATGGCTCCTAACCTCAGAACTTGTGAGAAGACTCCCTTCGATGGCAAAGGGGCTTTGTGGATGTGAGTCAATTAAAGAACTTGACGTGAGATTATCCAGGACTAGCTGGGTATATAGGAGGGAGGAGGGAGGAGTGTGGGATAGGAAGATGGTCTCCCACCAGTTGGAAGGATAGGAGGGAGAGCCATGAGCCTAGTGTCTACAGGAGCCTCTAAAAGCTGAAAAGCAAAGAAATGGCATCTTTCTTAAAGCTTCAGAATGACCGAGTCCTGAGGACACCATGGCTTTGGGACTCCCAACCTCTGGTGCTATGAGTGAATAAACTTATGTTTTAAAAATCTGTGTGTAGCCGGACGGTGGTGGCGCACGCCTTTAATCCCAGCACTCGGGAGGCAGAGGCAGGCGGATCTCTGTGAGTTCGAGGCCAGCCTGGTCTACAAAGTGAGTTCCAGGAAAGGCGCAAAACTACACAGAGAAACCCTGTCTCGAAAAAAAAAAAAAAAAGAAAACAAACAAACAAAAATTTGTGTGTAGTTATTATAGAAGGATAGGAAACTCAAATGCTATTTATAATTTACAACAAGTTTGGGTGCTGGAGAGTCGACTCAGTCTTTAGGTGGGTACTTCTCTTGCAGACGGCCCAAGATTAGTTCCCAGGACCCATGTAAGGTGGTTCACAATCATCTATCCTACATCCAGGGGATTCAACTTGCTCCTCTGCCTCCAAGGGCACCTGTACTTCATGTACACACATACACACAGGAATAATAAAATGTATCTTTAAAGTTAGGTTGTGCTGGGGGACAGCTCCAAGAACATACTGTGTGTCGCAGGGTCTCCACGGCTCTAGCCACACCATAGCTGAAAATGTTTACAGACTTTGTCCCTCCCTCTGTCCCTCCACGTCCCTCACCTCTTACTCAGCCCACAGCTTCCAGACTCAGTCTTCAGGGCCAACTAGCAGAAAGAGACACTGGTGAAAAGGACTATTCCAGGGGTTGGGTCCAAGCAGATTATGAAACGTAGAGCAAGCCCTAAATCCCCAGCTGTGGATTTGGCAGACCTGGCATTACCTCACAATGGCGACAAAGGGCCCTGGTCACTTAGATGAGGGCAGTGCTTCCTATGTCTCATCCAAGCACTAATGTGGGAGCCACAGGGAAAGGCAAAGGGAAACTCTGCCACTTGCTCGCAGTACCCTCCCCTCGGGGCTCCAACTTCTCCCTCATAAAATGAGTAGAAGGAAGCTCATTTTCCTCAGGCTTCCTGCTCTCTGGGTCTTTCTTTCCCCTGCTTCAAGAACTGTCTCTCTCTGAGGTGATGGGGTGAGCCTCAGAACCACTCACTATCACATTCCCGAGTTGCTTTCATACAGCCTGCTGCAGCACGTTCACATCAGCCCTGGGAAGCCAGGCCTTCAGGGAAGACCTCTGTGCACAGTCATGCTTCCTGACACTTGTCAAGACCTGGGGTCTTCCCGTGACCCCTCACCTCAGCCTCAGAGTTCTCTGGTCACAATTTATCAAGTGCTCAGGTGAGAACGCATGTCCCCTTACTCAGACTGGAGGGGTCCTTGCTCACAACCTGCCCTAAGAAGGGACAGAAGTGAGATGTGGAAGGCTGGCAACATCAATTCCAACTGCCCTCCATATGCCTTCCGGCACTACAGGGGCTGGAAATGATAAAAAGAGCACAAGAAACTATCTCATTAAGGCAAAGTTCTTGGGACGGGGTGCAGCCTAAGGTGACAAGAAGCTAAGCCGTGTCATTGAGCCTATGTGTCCAGGGGTGATGACAATGAGAAACAAAGACATCAGCTTCATAATAAGAGCACTGGAGACTTGGAGAAGCAACACTGGGGATGTTTATTTTACATCTTTGCAAGGGCAGCTGTCAGGCCAGAGATAGGTGCTGATTTAACACGGAGAACCGTTTCTATAGCCCTAATACAACCCCTTCCTCTGTTTCCTCATTGACTGAGTAATCAGGAGGATACAATGATGCACATCATGTGGGTCTTTCCCACTGCCACCTGTGTTTATATGTGTCATAGTATTTTATCACAGCAGCAAAAAGTAACTAATGCAGACTTCTAGAGACTAGGAAGGATTTTGACGGGGAGGGGAAGAAGGGTTGAGGGTAGAAGAGGAGATAGACAAGATCCACGTGTGTGTGTGTGTGTGTGTGTGTGTGTGTGTATGTAAAGATAGTGTACCCCAATAACTTGTATGATTAGTGGGGCATTAATAATTAATAGAGTAAGAGAAAGCCGTGGGATGCTGGGAAAATCTTTTCGTAGTGATCCTCATTTTATCCATCTGTGAATCAGGAGAACAGAAAGGCCCTGTGTGACAATCCCAGCACTGTGGTGTTCAAATTTTCTATAGACTTTGGAGCATCTTCAACTGGTGTATGTGGATGTTGGCATGAGAATGTTAATTAAGAAGTCATCACTGGAAGGCAGGCAGTTCGAAATCAGCTTCAAGTCTTTCTCCTCTCCTGAACCTTTTGAATGAAAGTACAACTGGAAGCCTGTAAGAGCCAGAGGGATGTTGCAAAACCCTGACTTCCAGACATGACAGGCCATTGTACCCATGGCCACATTGTATCTCTGGTTACTTGTGTGAGATCAGTCAACATTCCAGCAAACACCACTAATTGGATTTAGGGGATTACCAAAGAAAGAAAAAGAGAGAACATGAAGTTAGTGATGTATCACGTTGGGTGGGGGATCAGGGAATATGCAAGGGCAGTTAGGAGTAGGGGTATGATTAAGATTCATTGTATTCATATATGAAATTATCAAAGAATAAATAAAAGATTAAAAAAAAAAACAATGATTGGAGATTAGAGAACTGGTTCTGTGGTTAAGAGAGCTCTCAGCTCTTCCAGAGGACCTGAGCTCAGTTACCAGTACCCACATCAGGTGTCCACGGCTGCCTTTAACTCCAGCTCCAGAGGGATCTGATACCCTCTCCTGGCCTCTACAGGTACCTGCACTCACATACATATCTGCACACACATACACACAAGCAAAAATAAAAAGTTTTAGAATGATAGTGTAGGTAAATTGGTTGCAAAATGTGAGCTTTGCAACTCCGTGGGTTTGGTGTCCCGGGTTTCGGCATCAAAAATGTAAGTAAATTAGTTGCAACAACTCTGGGTTTGGTCCTGAATTTTGGCACCAAAATGTGAGTTTTGCAACTCTGAGAAAGGTGTCCTGACTACCTGAGAGTCGGGCAACACCTTGAGCTGCTTAGGACAGCTCTGATGGCTGAAATGCAAGGAGACAGTTCAGCCCTGGAGAGCAAGGTATCCCGGACACCTCGAGCTGCTCAGAACAACAGTTCTGCCCTGAAGATGTTCTGGACACCTTGAGCTGTTTAGCACAGCTCTGATGGCTGGAACTGCAAAGAAGCAGCCCAACCCTGGAAGGGAAATTTTGCTGACTTCTCGGGAGAGTTAGGCCTGGAACTGCTTCAGCAGGGAAGGGTATCCTGACTCTTCAGGAAAGTCAGGGTATACCTGGTGTGATGGGGGATGGTCTCCCCGCAGGATATGGCAATCCTGCTCCTCTCCTGGAGAGCTGCTACAGCTGAGCTTTGCTCAGTCCCCACTTAAGGGGGCTTCCTAGCAGAGCTCTGCTTCTCCGGCCTAAGATGTTGCTTCTTTTGCTTGACTCTGCGAAAGGGGAAACCCCTGGAGAAATGTAGCAATCTCCTCCAGCTCAGGAGAAAAGTGTTACTTTTTAGCTCTCTCTCGCTTTGTCCACTGAGGGACTTCTCAGCAAAGATCTTCTGTTCAGCTCCTCCTTGCTCTGCTCTTTCAGCTCTCCCTTATTTTATCCACTGGGGGACGTCTCAGCAAGGTGAATGAAGATCTCTACACCAGTGAATGAAGATCTTCACACCCAAAACTCTTTTGAGAAAGAGATTTATTTGGGAAGGAGGAGTCCAGGAGAGTAGCTGCCTCTACCAGGGTGGGGAAAACAGTCTTTTTTTCTAACTGACTAGGCAGGGCGGTTTACACAGGAAGTCTTGGGGGTGGAGTCAACCAGGGGTTGACTTTGGGCCCAGGGTTCTACTGTCCTGGTCTGTGATTGGTTGGTTTCACAAGTCAGTTGGTCAGGGACAGAGATGGTTTTGATCTGACTGAGCCAAACTGTGTTTCTTTCTGCCCTGATCTGAGCCATCTTTCCCTAGTTCTGGGCTCCAGGGTCAGGGTGGATTTCTTTAGACAGCCCCTTTTCCCTACAGATAGTAAATGAATAAGTAAGTCAGAGGTATTCTTGCATGACTCAAAAAATACTAGACACAGCCAATACATGTGAGAATATATATTAATATAGATGAACATATGTAATATCAATGTATATTAAAATGCATACACACAGAAACTATTGAGTACTGATAGAGGGAATGTGGGATCCAACACACATGGTCAGAACTGTGTCCCCAGGAAGCCACCCAGTCCACACATAATATCTCCAAGCAGTTCACTGTCTACTACAACAAAGTTGTTCGGTTCCAAAACCAGGGCTTACAGTCCCACTGTCTGGCTGGGCGGGCCACATGCTCGCCCTGTTGGGTCCTCACACAGCCTCCTCTCTCTCCTTCTAAGGCCGGGCTGGGGACTGAACCCAGGGCCTCATGTGTGTGTGCTAAGTGCTCTGCTGTGTCAGCCCCTCGTGTTCCTTTTTAACAGCTTCATTTGGGTCCTCCATCGGCAGCAGAGTGTGAGCCAGAGTCGTGCTCCATGTCTCCTCTCAGGAACTTGTGCAGGCATCCAGGAAGAAAGATGAGCATAGTGAGTTTTCTAAACAACCAGCAGCACAAACGAGGACTGTAGGGTTTTCTTCAGTCTTGGGCCAGGGCAACCTCTGCTGCTTTTCCATGCGTTGATACAGAGATGCTATATATTCAGGAGGCTAAGATAGTCTCTCCACCCAAGGCGCGTGAGTCACCTTCAGCCTTAACTATCATGGTGCTCCCCCTGCTGGGCTGAACATGAAGTGCAACCCCTGCAAGGAGGCTTGCACAATTGTAGTTGTCTTTTCTTTTATTTTTTTACATTTATTTGTTTGTGTGTACATATATATGTGTGCGTGCCTCTGTGTGTGTGTGTGTGTGTGTGTGTGTGTGTGTGTGTGTCCCACTACCTCTGCTCTTCTAGTCTCAAAGACTTCTTAGCAGGAGGCTGGCCTGGCCCTGGTTTGTTGGGCCTTCAGCCCAATGAGCTAGCTTCTTGAGGGGAATGTTGGCACTCTGGCTGAAGGTGTCATAAGTGCAGTGCCATAGTATCTGTCACCTGGGTAGCACCCTGAGTCAGAGGGACCAGCACACCCGTTTCCCAGATGTTCCCACCTCCCTCGGGCATGCCGTCACACCTCTCTCTGGCTTCATAGTCCTCATCTGTATCAGGAACACTATACTCCCTACCTGTCTTGCTCCTAGGGTGGATGTGCATGGGATTCTGGGTGAGCTGCACACCTGGAGACACTGGAGACCGAAGTAGCCCCACACCCATAAGCACACACTGTCTGCCGTTTTCCTTAGATCCCAAACAGCGCCTCTCCCCACCCCCTTATCGGTCCACACCTTTGAACAAGGACACGAAAAAGTAAAAGGGAACATTCAGTCTATGCTTAAAGCTGAGGAGGAAATGCCTCCAGCTGCCTATCCCTTACTTACTTCATGGAGCTCTGTGGCCAAGAACATGCTTCTCAGCCTCGAACTTAGACGTGGGAGGATTTTCTGAACTGTTTCCATCTTCGTCTCTGTGAGTGGGTGGGAGGGTGGGACTCAAATCTGGGCTTCAGTGTTTGACATTCCCTTTGCAAATTTCAAAACCACAACCAGTTCTTGAAAGAGTCAATTCAGGAGAATAATAGAGCGCATTAAAGGCACCCAGTGTGTGCCAGACACAGCACTGAGCAGGAAGAAGGCTGGGGGTGGAGCTCAGTGGGTAGTGTTCCCCTAGCACACACCGAGCCCTGGGTTATGTTCTCAGCTCCCGAAAAATCTTCCACCAGGGAGGCAGAGGCAGGAGGACCAGAAACTTAAGTCATCCTCCACTGCAGGGGAGTTCAAGGTAGCCTGGGCTAGGAGAGACCCAGTCTCAAAAAGGAAAGGGTGAAAGAAGAGGGGACCTGGGAGAGGAGGAGGGTGTGGCAGAGGAGGCAAGCAGGGGTGATCAAAACATACCTCCTGCAAACATCAGCGGCTCCCTGGGGAGGCCTGATGACAGAAGTCCTTCTAGACCCTCTCTTTTTCTTACAGTATTTTGTTGGGCCTTCCTGTAGTCTTAATCCATCCACCCTTTAAAGTTTTTGGTTGTGTAACAAAAAACTCTACGTGGCTTCAAAAGTCAAAAGTGTCAAGGTCAATGTGAAATTTCAGCCTAGCTTTCCACTAAGTCCCCTGCTTCTCCAACGAACATATGTATTTGCACAACTGATACCCTGGTGTGCATTTGTATTGAGCTGGTGATTGTTCGTGTGTATGTTTTTTTCTTTTTTTAAGTTTGTGTGTGTGTGTGTGTGTGTGTGTGTGTGTGTGTGTGTGTGCCCGCGCGTGTGCTGCAGAGCACGTGTGGAGGTCAGAGGACAACTTTACAGAATTGATTCTCTTCCTTACCACCTTCCTGTGGGCTCTGGAGAGCAAACTCAGGTTGTCGGACTGGCATAGTGAGCCCCTTTATCTGACGAGCCGTCTTACAAATCAGAGGTCTCTGGCCTTGGCAACAAGCACCTTTCTTTATTCACTGAGCCATCTCACTAACCCTACCATGTAACTTATGGCAATAACGATTATCAAGCTTGCCCTTTGGAGTCTCAAAGGCCATTTTTGCCTAAATAACAATTTATGTTTCGGCCTGCAGAAGCCCAATGAGGAAACAGAACAACAACAACAACAAAAAGAAAAACACATATATCATATTGTATCTGTCTCATCAACCTTAAACTTCACGTCAGACCCTTCTCAGCCCTGTCTGTAGACATGATGGCCATTTGAGAAATATTTTGTCCCGAAGTACAAGGCAGGGTTAACTCCACCTAGACTTGTCTAACATCTTACCTCCCTCCCTCCAAGGCTCAAATCACTTATGGGCCACCGTGACTGTAAACACCAGGAGAGAAGCAAGGAGAGGTAGCGTCCACCTCCTAGAAGGTCTCCACCTCTTCCCAGAAGGAACACACATGTCCCTCCCCTTTATTAGCCTGGCCTGCTCCTCTTCTCCCCTGTCTGTAACTCCCCAGTCTGCTGGCTTAGAAGTTAACTCACGAGCAAGGCCCCCGCTTCTCCTTTCTTTGGCTATTGAATAAAGTCCTTTTTGACCCCGATGCTTGCCCCTTGGACACTGGGGCACTGGCTTTTCTTTGGGATGAACTGTTGGACCTGGGTTTGAGCACACCGGAAACCTGACCTAACAGCACAGTACCCTCGGCGTCTCTCCATGAAAGTAGACAACATACATCAATGCAAAAGCATCCATGGAGGAGAAGCAGAGCAAGATGAGCACAGCACAAGCCCCTCCTCCATCTTTCCCCACAGAACCCTAACCCTGCTCCAAAACTACCCCCACCAGACCTACCTGAGGGATATCATGTGGTATTGTATTCCCCCAAATATTGTGCATGCTAATAAACTTATCTGGGGTCAGAGACAGAACAGCCACAATATTAAACATAAAGGATAAGCAGTGGTAGCACACACCTTTAATCCTAGCATTCCAGAGGCAGAAATCCATGTGTTCAAGGATACAGCCAGGTATGGTGACTCATCATGCCTTTAATCCCAGAAAGCAAGCCTTTAATCCCAGGGAGTGGTGGTAGAAAGCAGAAAGGTATATCAGGCATGAGGACCAGAAACTAGAAGCATTTGGCCTGGTTAAGCATTTGGCTGGTTAGGCATTCAGGCTTCTAGCAGCAGTTCAGCTGAGACCCATTTGGATGAGGACTCAGAGTCTGAGGAAACAAGACCAGCTGAGAAGTTGGCCAGGTGAGGTTAGCTGTGGCTTGTTCTGTCTCTCTGATCTTCCAGTGTTCACCCCAATACCTGGCTTAGGTTTGATTTTATTAATAAGAACTTTTAAGACTCATGCTACAATATCAGGCACCTGATTTCCAACATAAGAAATATGAAAAGCTAAATTGAAGAAAGCAAGAAGAGACATCCACACGACTCCTTCCCCCACTCCAAGCTGGGGAGACTCGGTCAGTATAGCTGAATGGATGAGCACATCCTCCCATCCTGCAGCTGGTAACAAGGCAGCCAGGCATCCTCATCGCTTGGGTAGTAGGAATGGGCCCAGGGTTGGGTCACAATGTCCACGGTGGAAAGACAGGAAAACCCTATGGACACGGGAAGAAAAGCATGGGAAAGAGAAGAGCCCCTCATCCCTGTGGGGCTTTTCTGCCAAGAAAGGCAGGAGGCTTTGGATGCTGCTGACAACACCCTAACTACCCAAGGAGATAGTGTATGTTTCCCAGAAGACATCTTGTCTAAGGCAATAAATAAACTGAGCGCACATGGAGTCCAAATGATGTAGAACCCTGAGTTTCTAGCCCTTCCCTAAACCTAAACAATACCCCCCTGATAAATTCATCTTAAGATATTGTCTTTTTTAAAAAATGCTTTCAGATGGGAGCGGAAGCAGAGACCCACAGCTGGACATTATGCAGAGAGAGAGAGAGAGTCTAAACTGAAGGTCTCCATCAGGCCCCTCCCCTCAGGGAACTCCATAGAAGAGAGGGGCGAAAGACTGTAGGAGTCAGAGCAGGTGGAGGACCCCAGGAGAACACGGCCCACTGAACCAGCTCTGCAGGGCTCACATGGGCTCCCAGAGACTGAGGCATCACAGGGCCTGCACAGGTCTGCACCAGGTCCTCTGCGCATATGTTATGGCTGTGAGCTTCATGTTTTTGTGGGACTCCTTACTCCTTTCATGGGAGCAGATGGGTCTCTGATTCTTTTGCCTGCTTTTGGGGCTCTTTTTCTCCTATTGGGTTGCCTGCCCAGCCTCGATACGAGGGCTTGTGCCCTGCTTCCTTGTATCTTGTTTCCCATGTTTGGTTGTTGTCTCTTGGAGGCCTGCTCTTTTCTGAAGGGAAATAGAAGGGGAGTGGATCTGGGAGAGAGGGGAGGTGGGGACAGCTGGACGGAGTAGATGGGGGGGGGACTGTGGTTGGGATGTATTGTATGAGAGAAGGGTCTATTTTCAACTGAGAGGGGGGGGAGGAGGAGGAGGAGAGGAGAGGGGGCTACAGAACCACCTCTGGAGATATGACTTAAGAGCTACCAAAGACCCATTATAAAGTGGCTTCATGGGCTGGAGAGGTGGATCAGCAGTGGAGAGCACTGGCTGATCTTCCAGAGGACTTGGGTTCAATTCCCAGCAAGCACATGGCAGCTCACAACTGTTACTCCAGTTCCAGGGGGGATGCCACACCTTCACACAGACATCCATGCAGGCAAAGCACCAGTGTACATACAATAAAAGTACATTATTTTTAAGAAGAAAGACCTCATTGTAACTCTCCTTTGAGAGAGCACAACCCTGACACCTGTGTTCTCTGGGACTCCCTTCTTCTCTGAGCCCCTTTCTCTCTATTCTTAACAAAACCAAACTCTGCTTTGTTTGGCTAGCCTTGGAGTTCTTCTCATTGAAGGCACAGACCCCTGTCTCAACTGCGTGGAGGTCTCTGAGGAGAACACAGCAGACTATCACTGCTGTGAGCTGTCTCCATCCCAGTCACCACCGATACGCCATGGAATCACTCTTCAGTCACTGTGTCCCTTCCCGTTTCTGGACCTCAGTCTCCCCAACACAGGAAAACTCAAGAAAATGACCCCAAGTTCTCTCCAGTTGCAAGTGATCTCATACCTCTTATTGCCGGGTGAGGCTGTAGCTCAGTGGTTAGACCCTGACTATGTAAGCATGAAGACTGGAGATGGGATCTGTAGAAATCACATAAATGCAAGGTAGACATGGAGGCCCTTCTGTGATTACAGCAAAAAAAAAAAAAAGGCAGAGATGGGGGATCACCAGAGCAAGATGGCTGTCGAGACTAGCCATACTGACCAGCTCTGGGTTAGATTGAGAAACAATGCCTCAATAAGGTGAATAAGGTAGAAGAGTGATCAAGGCTGATTCCCAACATCAATGTCAGGCCTCTGCATGCATACACACAGGTAAACATGTATCCACATGTTCGAATTACACACACACTCACACACACACACACACACACACACACACACACACACACGAAAATGGAAAAACAAATCAATAAACAAACAAGCAAACCTCAATGACCTCTGTGGGCAGGACTGTGACCCAGGAACAGTTCCTGCTCCTTTTCTCAATCAATCTCACCCATTGGTACTTTATAACTGGCAGACACATGGCATGGCACAGTGGTGACCCCCAAAGGGAGGAACACCAGTGGCTAAGATCATCATTCTTCAGTGTCAGCTCTCCTTCCCTGTGTCCCTCCTCTACCCTGCCCTCCCAGCTCTGAAATAGCCTTCCATTTTTTTTTAAAGATTTTATTTATTTATTATGTATACAGTATTCTGCCTGCATATATGCCTGCAGGCCAGAAGAGGGCACCAGATGTCATTGTAGATGGTTGTGAGCCACCACGTGGTTGCTGGGTATTGAACTCAGGACCTCTGGAAGAGTAGCCAGTGCTCTTAACCTCTGAGCCACCTCTCCAGCCCCAAAATAGCCTTCTTTTAAAGAAATAATAATAGTGAGAATAGAGAGATGGCTCAGCAGTTGAAAGCTATGGCTGTTCTTCCAAAGTTCAGTTCCCAACACCAATGGTAGCTCGCAATGACCCATAACTCCAGCCTCAAGAAACCCAATACACTCCTCTGGCCTTCATGGGTACCTGTATGCACATGGCAGACACACAGATACATACACAGACATATAAATAAAAAATAAGCCCAGCATGGTGGTACAAGCCTAGACTCTCTTGGGGGTTGGGGGCGAGAGTTCAAGACCAGGAGTTCAAATGCCAGGACTGGCTACATAGCAAGGTGGAGGCCAGCCTGGGCTACACAAAACCCTGTGAAGAGAAGAGGAGAAGAAAGAGGAGGAGGAAGACAAGAAGGAGGAGGAGGAGGAACAAAAGAAATAATGCAAAGGCCCTTAGAGAAAGAAATGAGGGCGTGGCCATCTATGCTGCCCTTCAATTTTATTTGGAGAATTGAGTGATACCCAAAACCCCTAAGCTTTGGACCACATAGGCCAAGCTGCAGGAGGGGTTTTAGAAATGGCTGGGTTTCTACAAGGTGCCAGGTAGACACAGAAATAATAAAACAGCTTCTTCAGAGACATATCTGAAAAGTTCTACACTCACACCAAAGCTCTACCTGGAGTCCCAACTTGGTCTCTTTAACCATAAAATAACTCCTCCAAGACTCAGTTTTCTAATCTGTCAAATGGGAGATGAAACCACCTACCTCAAGAGACACCCTTGGTCTGGAGCTTGGGGTATAGGATAAAGTCATACACAAGATTGCTATTGTCATTCTGGTGCAGAGAGGGAAGGGCAGCTACACTCAGCCACAGGCCGGATGAAGTTCCTGGTGGAATATGGATGGGGTGATGAATTCACTTTTAGGTACTGATGTTTGGACCAGGTTATATGATCTCAGGTGAGCCACTCCCAGTTCCCCATCTGTTTTCTAATCCACTAAGAAGCTACTTACTGCAGCACTGTTCACAAGAGGCAAGATATGGAGTCAAGGAAGGTGTCTATCAAAGAATGGATGGACAAACCTATCTATGGTCATAGACATGGTGGAATACCATTCAGCCATTAGAAGGAATGAGATTTGTCATTTGTGACAACATAGGGATCTTAATGTTAAGTAAAACAAATCAGACACAGAAAGATAAATACTCCCAGAACCCTAAGCTAGAGACAGAGGAGAGGTCAGGGGAGGCCAGGAAGGGTAGGGGGCTTGGCAAGGGAGAGACATTGGTTAACAGGTAACAATATAGCCACAGAGGAGTACAGCAGGTAACAATGTAACCACAGAGGAGTACAGCAGGTAACAATGTAACCACAGAGGAGTAGAGCAGGTAACAATGTAACCACAGAGGAGTACAGCAGGTAACAATGTAACCACAGAGGAGTACAGCAGGTAACAATGTAACCACAGAGGAGTACAGCAGGTAACAATGTAACCACAGAGGAGTACAGCAGGTAACAATGTAACCACAGAGGAGTACAGCAGGTAACAATGTAACCACAGAGGAGTACAGCGGGTAACAATGTAACTGTAGAAGAATACAGCAGATAACAATGTAACCACAGAGGAGTACAGCAGGTAACAATGTAACCACAGAGGAGTACAGCAGGTAACAATGTAACCACAGAGGAGTGCAGCAGGTAACAATGTAACCACAGAGGAGTACAGCAGGTAACAATGTAACCGCAGAGGAGTACAGCGGGTAACAATGTAACTGTAGAAGAATACAGCAGGTAACAATGTAACCACAGAGGAGTACAGCGGGTAACAATGTAACCGCAGAGGAGTACAGCGGGTAACAATGTAACCACAGAGGAGTACAGCAGGTAACAATGTAACCGCAGAGTACAGCAGGTAACAAGGTAACAGCAGAGCAGTACACTTCTGACTCTATTACAGAAGGCTATTTATGGCCAGCCATCTTGTATCTTGTAAAATAAGTACAATTACTTCAAAAAATTTTGACGGGGTCTCAAAAGGTAGCCCTAGCTGGCCTGGGACTCCCTATATAGAACAGGCTGGCCTCCATCTCAGGGATTCACCTGCCTCTGTACCCCCCAGTGCTGGGATTAAAGGCATACCAGGCCAGAGCATACTTCTAATGTCTTGTCACAATGAAATAATAGATATTTGAAATGATGAACAATCTAAGTGTCTTGATTTGCTCAATATGGAGTCTCTCTCTCTCTATATATATATATATATCCAGAACACCACATAGTGACCATGAAGATGTATAGTTGCATTAGTTTAAAAGGAAGAGAGATGACTCTTGCCCAGATGAACAGTGTAACTCCAAGTCCAGGTTCAAAATAGTCCAGTGAATTTAGAAGACACACACACAGCCAATATCTGAGGCCCCTTCAAGCTTGCATGCTTACATTCCTTCATATCTCCATAGACTATTCAGTATACCTCCAAGACCCTATGCCTCGAACTGCCGTACAAGAATGAAAGAAGCCCCCCACGCCACCTCAACTCTACATTGTCACAAAAAATATATTATCAGCCAGGCAATGGTGGTGCACACCTTTTAACCCCAGCACTTGCAGCACTGGGGAGGCAGGGGCAGGTGGATCTCTGTGAGTTCGAGGCCAGTATGGTCTACAGAGTGAGTTCCATGACAGCTAGGACTGTTTCACAGAGAAACCCTGTCTTGAAAAACCAAACATATACATCATCATCATCACTTAAGCTGCACTTGGGGTCAGCAAGATACTTCAGAGGGTAAAAGTACCTGCCACCAAGCCAAAAGGCAAGAATGCAAGCCCAGAACCCACATGTGGAAAGAGAGAACCAATTCCGGCAAGTAGTCTTCTGACCTCCACACTTAAGCCATGGCACACTCCTTCACACACACACACATTCGCATACATACACACACACACACACACACACACACACACACACACACACACATACACACAATTTTTTAAAGTGTGACTAAGTTGTGTTCACTTCTCCCACCCTCTACATTGCTCTCAGCTGGGCACACTGTTCTCACACAGAGTACATGGGCCCCACCATGAGGAGCCAGGCCTGTTGGTCAGCTTTAGAGAGAACCCCACCCATGTCCCTCTGGCCCTCAGGCCTTGAGAAGTCATGTGCACTGTTATCTTCTTCATGGTGTGGAGTGAGGCTCAGAGAAGGACAGTGTCCTTCCCAGGGTCCCAATGGCTTTTTGGGGACACTATGTTGGAATCCAGTTCTCCAAATGCCTGACTCCCACTGGCTTATATTGGAGTCCTCATCCTCTTGTCTGACCAATGGTGTTGCAAGTTAGGAGTGTACACCTTCACCCCACCCAACACAGTTTCTCTGGGCTGATGTCCATGAAAGGCCCTGAGTCAGACACCAGTATTCCGGTCACCCCTATCCAAAAGATCTGAAGATTAACACCGGATTCTTAATCAATCTGGAGAGGAAAGCAAAACCAATTTGACCCTAAGCCCCCGACACTCTGAGTTTACAGATCTCATTGCCTGGAGGGAGCCGAGCTCTATCGGCAAGACGAAATCTAAAATTAGAATCAAACCGTGGAATTTCAATTGCAGGCCCCAGAATGCAGCCTGCCGCTCCACAGGCCAGGAATAGCATGGTGTGATGGTACCAGACAAGGGAAGAAAGGACATTTCGCAAACCACAGCCAGGGCCACAGTTGACTCGGGGCAAGACCATGAAGGGTGGGGCCCAGCATTCAACCAAGGGTCTGTGTGTCGATCCGAGCTGCAGGTAGCAGTCATGCAAGGACCTGGCTGGGGTGCAGCAGGGACTCCGCCAAGGGATGTGACCTCCATCCAATTGTCCTTTGTCTTTTAGAACCCCAGTTTCCAAAAAAACCAAAGCAACAACACTCCCCAGAGAAGTGACCAGGCTTTGTGGAGACGGGCACATACCACTGGGGATGGAGGAAGGAGCGGTAAGGATGAGCCTCCTCTTTGTAGTTTTTAAAATTACACTGTTTATCTATTTGTGGCTGGGATGGGGCACGTGGAGGTCGGAGGAGAGCTTGCAGGAGTCAGTTTTCTCCTTCCTTCCACCAAGTGGGCCCCTGGGGTTCAAACTCAGGCTTGACAGCAAGCACCTTTACTGATGAGCCATCTCCCAACCTGGGGTGGGGCTCCTTAGGAAAGGGGGGAGGATGGGGGGGGAGGAGCTGGGAAGATGACCCAGTCGGTAAAGTGTTTGCTGTGCAAACAAGGTCTTGAGCTTGATTCCCCAGAACCCGCAGAAGAGCCAGGCACAGCTGCACATGGCTGCATGTGGCTATAATCCCACTTCTGGGGGTGGGGGTGGGCAGAGACATGCGGGATGCTGAAGCTCACTGGCCAGCCAGATTTGTTGAGCTTTAGGGTCACTGAGAGACCCTGTTTCAAAATAACACAAGGTTTCTGGAACCAGGCGTAATGCTGCATGTCTTTAATCCCAGCACGGCAGAGGCAGAGGCAGGCGGATCTCTGTGAGCTCAAGGCCAGCCTGGTCTACATAGTTCCAGGACAGACAGATCTACGTAGTGTCTCAAAAAAAAAAAAAAAAAAAAAAAGAAGTGGAAAAGGATTAAGGAAAGCACTCCAAATCCACCTCTTACTTTCATAGGTACACAGACACACCACAAATTCAGAATCGGCACGGGATCTCAGAAAGAGCCCTGGTAAGGGATCGACCCTTCAGAATCTGTCTCCGGTGTCCCTGTTACCAGTGAGGTGTTTTAAGCTACGCTGTTGGCACATAGGCCTCGGTCAGTGCTGCTTTCTGAAGATGAGACGAAGGGGAGGAGATGGGTACGGCTTGAGAGAAATGCTATAATTTGTAGAAGGAGGAAAATTTGGCTGGTTCATCTGCACCAAGCAGAGATAATGACAGAGAATAGAATCCCAAGAAACTCCTGAGACTACCCTCAGCCCCAGAGCTCTAATCTGAAAGCCGCATGCAACTTTAAGCAAATCACACCCCGTCCCTGCCCAGGAAAATGCTTCTGGGAATCATGCAGCATTTGCCTCTTCTTGTCTCCAAGGAAGCTCTGTCCTTCCATGGAGCCTCCAGTGATTCTCAACCTGTGGGTCGCAACCCCACAGGGGTCGCATATCAGACATTTACATTACGATTCACGACAGTGGTAAAATTACTACTGTTAGGAAGTAACAACGAAATAATTTTGTGGTTGCGAGGTCATCACAATGTGAGGAACTATATTAAGAGTCATAGCATTAGGAAGGTTGAGAACCATGGCCCTGGGTAAGGCGTCTTTCCCATCTTCTTAGTGCAGACAGCAGGCTCGTGGCATCTGGGAAGACTACCCTGAGATGGGACATGTAGGAGTTTTCTCAGAGGCAGAAATGGGTACCCCTTAGGAGAGTGTGTAATAAATAGCTCAGCTCTAGTCATGAAAATCATCAGGCTGGGTTCGAGATGTAGACTGCTTGTCTAGTAAGCAGGAAGCCCTAGATCCTGTCCCCAGCGCTGTATAAAGACGGGTATGGTGGTGCACAAGTCTGCAATCCTAACACTCAAAAGGTAGAAGCAATGCGATCAAAAGCTCAAGGCGATCCTTGGCTACCTAGTGAGTTGGAAGCCACTCTCTGGGCTACATGAGACCCTGTCTCCAAAGAAAAAAATAGCTGCATTGGAGTTGTTGTCTCTTTTCCTGGGATTGGGAAATACCAATACAGCTCACAACTCCCTCCCCACATCCCTCCTTTCCCTCCTCCTCTCTGAGTTTCTTCAGGCGAGAAGAGGTGGGGCACCCATGCATGTGGGCGTGGTCTCATTCCAGCCCAGCTAGAGCAAGCTCTGAGGCCAGAGCCAGCTCTGAGGCCAGATCCACTGAGCCCAACTTGCACCTGCACCCACACCTCCCCGATTGCCCCCTCCCTACCCTGAGCTTGCCCTTTCTGAAGCCATCATGTCCGTGACCAAGAGTGCTGGGAGTCCCCAGGTAGCCACCACTGTCAAGCTGGACCTCATGTCTTCTCCTGAGAGTACCAAGAAGGTGGAGAGCCAGGATCCTAGTCTCATGAATGGAAGCTCTTCAGAGACGTCAAAGAAGACCAAGGGCATAACGTGAGTGCAGCTCCCTGCCACCCCATGTCTGCTTCCATCAGCTTCCAGCCTGGACCTTGAGGTGGGTGTGTCTGACCCTCAACCCACTGTGCCGCCAGGAACACTAACGAGGAAAAAGTGGCAGCCATGGGCTGTGTTAAATAAGAAATTCTAGCTGAGGCCAGGTTTAGTCCTGAGAGGGAAACTGAGGCCCAATGGCTTTAAGCCACATGCTAAAGTTTATGGGCAGAGAAGAGACTAGACTATAGTGCTGTTGCTAAAGTCAATTTGGGGCTCTCGATGTCTAGGAAGGGAGTCAGAACTTGGAAGGAGGTCAGGATCAGAACATAAGACCACAGTGGCCTCGCCAACCAACAAGCAAGCCTCTCACTGTAGCAAGCCCCTACTGCCACTAAGGTTGCAATGGGGCTACTCAAGGAACAGCATGTAGAAGATTATAGTTTCTTCCATTTCCTGGAAGATGAGTTCTGGAGAAGGGGACATGCACAAAGGTTTTGAGACCATGACAAGCTGCGGGGCTCCAGCACGTTCTCCTGCATTTAGCTTCACCAATACAGCAGTCCAGCGAGCTCAGGCTCACGCTTTAAGAAGCAAGCGTGGCACCTTCAGTGTAGAATGGCATTTAACAGAGGACCAGAAGAACCGGGTTCAAGTGGAAGCCTGTCCTCTCCTCCGAATCCACTTCCCTCATATGTAAAGCAGGGAGGATCAGACAGGACCCAGAACATTAAAGGAGTGTGTGTGTGTGTGTGTGTGTGTGTGTGTGTGTGTGTGTGTGTGTGTGTGCTGAAGGTGAACGTGGAGGAAGAGAATGTGTGGCAGAGAGGGAGAAGGTGCTGAAGGGATGGACTCAGTCTCTCTCCATACCACCTGCAAGACACTGCAGGAAAGGACTCCATGGCTGCTGGCAGTGTGACATGGCTCTTTCCTCCCTGGAACTGGTCCTGGACCTTCTAAGTGCTAGAGATCACCAGAGTGAGCTGTTGAGGCCCCTGGGTCACCCACTGCAGAGCAGGGATATTTCTCAACTTTGAGAGAACCAGCTGACTCTTGTCCTGTGTCCCTGGTGGCTGAGGTGGCAACTTCAGCTACTTAAAAATCAAAAGAATAATGCAAGCATGAGCTAGAGAGGACCTTGTGGGGCTTGGAGACAAGTCATGCAGGTTGGGCAAGCAAGAAGCTGATGGAGTCTGGCCTCCTGGGTTCAGTTCCCGCTTACCAGCTGGAGACAGTGACAGAGTCTAGAAATGATGGCTGGCTCGCTCCTGCCAGGATGGCTGCCCCTTCTGTGTGAGCATGAAGCCCCAAGCACAGTACCTGTGTACTCTTAGCTGCTTAAAAATATCTGTGGTGGTGGCTCTAGGTCACCAAAGGAGTCATAGACGGAACCCAGGCCTCCTGGCTCCTGGTCCAGAATTTTGCATGGCTTGACACACTGCAAGCTTGCTGAATGGCTGCAAGCTAAATTCTGATTTCCTAAGTCCTTTAGTTAGAAATCTCCTAAGTGACCTGTTGATCCCTTCCCAGTTGCAAAACAAGCCCATCACTGGGGGCCAGGGGGTGTAGTTCTCTGTCAGCAATGTTGACACCCACAGAGAAAGGGAAAGGCATGCAGGGCTCTCCACCCCCCTTCTCCTCCAGTTGTTCTTTAACTCCTACCAGTCCATGGGTAGACCTTCTGATGCGAGAGGACTTGGGGGTTAATGCAGAGACTGGGAGTTGGGTGAAATCTTTCAAAATAGCATTATTCTTAACACTCACAGAGGCCCTCCAGAGCAAAACATGTGCCCCCACAAAATGACGGAGCTGGAGAAGTAGCGGCCTTGGGTTGGAATCCTGGTTTGTCTGATTCCAAATCCAGGCTCCTTCCAGACTCCTGTCACTGATTTAAGATGATCTGCTGGCTGCAAGGGTTTTTGGGGGAATTTCTAAGGCTTCTAAAGGGTTAGATAAAAGCCAAGGACCCTGTTTCACAAGGTCAGGACACAGAGACATCCAGAAGAAAGCTGGGGTTGACATTCACTGGGAGAGAAAGTTCCCAACTTGGAATTTTTCTCCCCAAATGACCTTGTCCTCTGAATCAACCTCACATCTCTCTTAAAGAAATAGTAAATTGAGGCTGTGGACACAGATCCGTTGGTAGAGTTCCTGTGTAGGGGCACAAGGCCCTGGGTGTGACCCCCAGCACTGCATGAAGTGGGCATGATGGCACACACCTGTAGTCCCAGCACTGGAGAGGTGGAGGTGGGACAATCAGAAGTTAAAGGTCATCCTTGGCTACGTAGTGAGTTCGAGGCCAGCCTGTGCTACATGAGACCCTGTCTCAGGAAAGAGAGGAGGGAGAGAGATGGAGAAGGAGAAAGAGAGAAAGGGAGGGAAGGAAAGAAAGAAAAAGAAAGAAGAAATCACCAGTGAGTGCTGAGGGTACCACTCAGTAGTAGACCACTTGCCTGGCATCTACAAGGCCCTGTGTGATCCCGAACACCATAAGGAAAAAACAACAGAAAGAGTGGGAGTCCTTTGCTTTAGTTTGGGTTTTATTGGGTTAGGGGTCATGCCATTCCCCAGACTTAATGTCCTGGGCTAGGAAGCAAAGAAAACCTCTCTGGAGACCAATCCCCAGATGACCCACATCACCTGACCTATTACAGAGAAGTCGCAGGGACTATTTTCCTGTCTGCCTTTCCCCCTAGTTTTGGAGTGCAGTCCTGTCTCTGCCACAACCTGGGAAGTCAGGTTGGTCTCTGGGCCTCAGTTTCCTCTGTGATGACTTGGGGTTGCCCCTTTCGGCCCTTGTCCTGGGTCTGCCTCCTGGAGCTCAGCAGAAGTGAAAACCAGAGCTGCGAAGCAGCTTGGCTTCCAGCCCCAGCTCCCCAGTGTATCCATGGACGAATCAATTAGGTACTTTTGTGCCTCCATTTCCCATCTGTAAACTAAAACCCACATCAATGCCTACTTCACTGTCTTGCCAAAAGGATTAAAGGAGATGTTATATATAAGCTATTTAGCACAGGGTCTCATACAGTTAGTGCTTCATGGCATAGACTGAGTGTGAGTTGCTAAGGCTGGGACAATCCTGGACAACTTGGGATGGGTGGTCACCTTCCAGGAGATCCACCATGGGCCAAGCAAGGATACAGGAGCACCAAGGTGGCTGTGAATCTACTTGCCCAGTTTAATTGAGGTGTTGACATGCTATGAGGGAATGGCTGCTAGATTCTCTCCCATCCCCCCTCCCATGTCCTCATACCTCCTTCTTCTCCTGCAGAGGGTTCCAGACATTGGTTCATCTGGTCAAAGGCAACATGGGCACGGGGATCCTGGGGCTCCCCCTGGCTGTGAAGAACGCAGGCATCTTGGTAAGAGGAATGGCAGTGGCGGGGGTTGGGGGGCATTATGAAGAGCTGTGGGATGGGGGAGGAGACAATAATGGGTTCAAATACCCCGTAGCAGACAGTGTTTCTGGGGGGGGTGTCACGGACATGGACCTAGAATCCAAACATCAAGCCTGGGTCTAAGTTCTGCCTTGGCCACAGGCACTAGGACTCAAGTCAGTCACTCTCAGGCCTCAGCTTCCTCTTCTGCAGAATGTAAGGGTTGGAGTTGGACCCAGTTATCCAATCTGGCTTTACAGAGCCTAGGTGTCCTTGGGGACACCTCAGAGGCCACCAAAGGGACATGTGGTCAAGACTTTGGGTCCCCTGCTTCCAGCACAAGCTTCATTGTGATTGCTATGTGTCCTTTTTGGACATTACTTGAGACTGCTTTTGGAAAGAATAGCAAGATGGCTTTCCACTCAGTTTTCTAGAAAGTCCTTTCAGAGCTAGCAAATGGCTCAGTAGATAAAGGCACTGGCTGACAAGTCCAATGACCTGAGTTTGCTCTCTGGGACACCCATGGTAGAAGGAAAGAGAAAAGGACCTCCTCTGACCTCTCTCCTCTAACCGCCACACACGTGCTGTGGCGAGCTGGAGTCCCCACCCCCAAACCAAGAGGGAGAGATCTTTGAGTCCTCAGCAGGACCTTTGCACTACTAAACTGTCCTCTCTCCCACCTTGCTCATGTCTGCCCTGCCTGCAGATGGGCCCGCTCAGTTTGCTGGTGATGGGCCTCATCGCCTGCCACTGTATGCACATCCTGGTCAAGTGTGCCCAGCACTTCTGCCGCAGGTGAGGAGTGTCCCATGTGTGGGTCTCGGGGACATCCCCAAAACATCCTACATTAGAAGAGCTTCCTTCTCCATGATCCCCGTGATCGCCATGAGCTGCGCCAGTATCTCATAGACTTGTCCATTCAGAGTCCTGTGCCCCACTCTGGAAGGTCTCATTCACAGGATCTGGGCAACAGTCAAGAGTATGCATACATTCCTAAGACGATCCAGGACAATCTGATGCTGCTGGCCCAGGGTCCACATTTGAAGAACTACCCTTGGAGCCAGTAAAGCAGAGGCATCTGATTGAATTGTGCAACTTCTTCCTCCAGATTGATAAACTAGAATTAGGAGAGCACTGAAATCTGCCTTCATCAAGATACCTGGTGATGGGTCCAAATCGATGCATGCTTATACTTTAGTTCCCCTCTGAACAGCTCCTGTAACTGGGTCCTTTTAGTTCTATCCCAAGAGGAGGAGCCAGGTGGATTTCACATGGTGATCGGATGCCACAGTGTAATCTATGGGGTTGTTGTGACAGTGGAGAGGCCAGCAGGTACCAGAGGTGACAGAGCTTGGGAGTGGGCTCTGATCCCATGATGGCACTCAGGACTGTGGCACCAACTCAGATTGTGGCACCTATTCAAGAATGGGGAGACCACAGGAGAGGTCTGGACACACGGCTGCTTGGCTGACCTCAATCTGGCCTTTCAGCTTACCTGGTCGGCCCACCAGTATATTGGGTATAAATAACTCTTGTCTGTCCTTGCCTCTGAGAGTTGAACCCAGTTCAGTGAGAGCCATGGGTCTAGGCACCACTACACCTACACCAGGCATGTGCTGTTACTCATGCTGTGTGGTAACTCCTCAATTTCCAGGTGAGAAGAAAGCACAGCGGAATTATAACCGCCTCCATTAGAACCTGCTGTGTGGACTCCATGTTCTTTCCACCCTGTATCTGTGTGGTCTGGGTCTGGATCTCTTGACTTTTTTTTTTTAAACCTGTGAGTTGTGAGGAGTGAAGGGAGCCCTGAGTGGATGTGCAGTTTTGACATGAGCACAGCATGTCAAGGACCCCAATGCCCCCAAAGCTTTCCCAAGGTGAGACTCAAAGAGATGGCAAAACCTTCCTCTGCTCCTAGTGTGACTGTTGACAGTGTATGTAGCAGCTATCAACCACAGCTGCTTCTTCTGTGATGACTCCAGCCTGAGGCTGCTCCCGTACAGAGAGCTCCTACCCAGATTAGGTAAACCTGCCTTCTTGTTCAGCTGCGCACACTAAGCCTGTCTCCTCAAGTCAGTTGTATACAGTAAATGCACTGGGTTCTGGGCTGCTGCGGCTGATGCCCCACATCAGAGTGAGCACGCTGGATCCCAGCTTTTCTGTCCGTGTGTCTGTCCTTTTCCTTTCTTCCTTCCCTCCTCATCCCACTTAGGCCCATCCCTGGAGTGGTGCAGAGCACGGCCGGAAGTGCATGCATGTGTGCATAGATGTGTGCATGCATGTGTACACATGATACACAGCACGCTGTGGAGGTCAGAGGACAGCCTCAGCTGTCAGTCCTGACCTTCCACCTTGTTTGAAAAAAAAAAAAAGTCTTTTGTTTGCTGCTGCACATGTCAGGCTACACAGCCAACACAGAGCCAGGGGTTCAAGGATTCTCCTGTTTCTGCCTTTCACGCTGTGGGAATTACAGACCTGGGCTACTGTTCCTGGCTTTTACGTGGGTCCTGGGACTTGAACTCAGGTCCTCATGCTTACACAGCATCTGCCCAGCTTGGCCTCCCGTCTCTCTAAAATCATCGTCTTAGGTTCATCGGTCTCTTACAGTGCTGTATGTGCTTTGTCCTGCAGACTCAACAAGCCCTTCATGGACTATGGGGACACAGTGATGCACGGCCTGGAAGCCAGTCCCAACGCCTGGCTGCAAAACCATGCCCACTGGGGGAGGTACCTTGTTCTCCCTTGGTTTACAGCGGGTCGGGATATGGAAGGAGAAAACGGTACTGTCAGGGAATGTCTTCTTTCCCCACAAGGCGGCTCCCAGGTCAGACTCTCCACAGGGGGGTGGGGGGGGTCACTGCCAACGTCACCTATCCAGTTCTACGTCACTCTCACGAGAGGTGTTCCTTTACCACACATTCTTAGGGAACCACACTTACCCCTGCAAACAGCACAGGGAAGGAGGTAGACAGCAAAGCTTCGCCCTTGCATTACCCATGGTCCGTTGGGAAGGACAGACGGCCTAGAGCTTCATTATGCAATACCCATGGGATACACATGAAAGAGGTTCTGGCTACTACCAAACGGGTGGAGGGTTATCGGGGCCAAGGGAAGAGGGGTGTGTCGTGGGGGGGGGGGTGGCTTCACTGGAACAGCTGAGATGGATTCTGTAGAAAGTAGCCTTGAAGGATTAGTAGGGAGAAGGCAGGGCCTGAAGGACCTTTTGGGAAGAGGGCAGAGCTGGGGAGCAAGCCACATGGGGATGTGACAGGGTCATGCTACAGACCAGGTGGCATGAAGGCAGAGCCAGGGTGGGGAAACTGAGGAAGCTGTCCAGTCCCATGGTCTATTTTATTTTTTAACTGTTTAATATGTAGTTATTTGTTTTGGGGGGAGGGGTGTCAGAAGACAGCCCATGGGAGTCAGTTCTCTCTTCTGATCACGTGGGTCCCAAGGATTGAACTCAGGGTCTGGCAGTGAGCATCATTATTTACGGAGCCGTCTCACTGGCCCACATTGTATAGTTTAGACCCTCTCTAAGATTTTATTATTTTCTTTTTAAATGTATTTATTTGTATTACTTTTTTTTTTTTTTTTTTGGTTTTTCGAGACAGGGTTTCTCTGTGTAGCTTTGTGCCTTTTCTGGGACTCACTTGGTAGCCCAGGCTGGCCTCGAACTCACAGAGATCCACCTGGCTCTGCCTCCCGAGTGCTGGGATTAAAGGCGTGTGCCACCACCGCCCGGCTATTTGTATTACTTTTAATTATGGGGGGATATGTGCATGTGAGTACAAGTGCCCCCAGAGGCCGGAAACACTGGATCCCCTGGAGCTGAAGTTACAGGTGGTTGTGGTGTAGGGGCTGGGAACCGAACTCTGGCTGTCTGCCATAGCAGCATATGCTCTTAACCACTGAGCCATCTTGTCAGCCCCTTTCTTAAGAAAACAGAAAGCCAAGAGAGCTTTTAATTGGAAAGCACGTGTGCATTCTTGGAAGGTTCATCCAGTTTCCGTGAGGAGAAGAGATGATGAGGAGCAGAGGGCAGACTTTGACAGACCCCTGAGGAGGTTTTAGTGTAGACAATGTCCATTCCGATGGTAACAAGGGGAATGAAGAGGTTGTCTCGGTAAGAGATTAGCCAACAGAAAGGAGAGAGCTGGGGCTGGGGGATGGCTCATCGGTCAAAGCCTTTGCCGTGCAAGCATGAGGACCATAGTTCAGATCTCCAGAACCCACACGCATGTCAGGTGGGTGTGGTGGGCCACCTACAATTCCAGACTCGGAAAGTGGAGACAGGGGATTCCCAAGAGCAAGCTGGCTAGCAAGACTAGCCATATCAGAGAGCTCTGGGTTTGGTTGAGAGACCCTACCTCAATGAATTAGGTGGGAGAGCAATGGAGGATGATTCTGCCTCCACATGCATGCACACACATGTAAAATATGTATGTACCCATGCACAGATGCATTAAAAACAGCAAAAAAGGGTCAGCTTGACTCAGACCTCTACCCACTTCTATTTTGGACAACCTGGGTCTGCGGTGACATTTGAGAGGAGACCTCACTGGGTATAAATGCCAGGCTTGTAGAACTGAAGGCGTCAGTCAGGAGGCCAGGGAGAGAAGAAGTCTTAGGAAAGAATGGAAAATGAAAAGAACAGAAAGACCCAGGTTTAGGACACTTGACTGAGCTGAACTGTTCCTACCTGAAGTCCACCTGTTAGCTCTCAGGAACGACACCTGTGTCAACACCGCTGTCCTTGGTGCCTGAGTTTAAGTCCACTCCTCCGTCTCTGTTTTCAGGCCTATCCCACCCCATCTGCCATCTGTTTCCTGATCACCTTCGGATCTGCATATTCACTGGTGCGGGCCAGTCCTCTCAACATTTAAATATGGCCATGTATCACTTTCTTATCAGATTTTGTAGGCTTAACCTTGTGGCTTAACCGTGTTGCATAGCCACAGTCTAAGCATTTCATGTAGTTATCCCTGGGATATCTACCAAATGCCTGCTGTCTTAGTTAGGGTTTCTATTGCTGAGATGAAACACCATGACCAATAGGCAAGTCGGGGAGGAAAGGGTTTATTGGGCTTACACTTCAGCATTGCTGTTCATCACTGAAGGAAATCAGAACAGGGACTTAGCAGGGCAGGATCCTGGAGACAGGAGCTGATGCAGAGGCCATGGAGAGTGCTGCTTACTGGTTTGCTTCCCCTGGCCCGATCAGCTCACCTTCTTATAGAACCCAGGACCATCTGCCCAGGAATGGCACCACCCACCATGAGCTCGGTCCTCCCCCAATGATCACTAAATGAGAAAATGCCTTACAGCTGGATGTCATAGAGGCATTTCTTCAACTGAGGCTCCTTCCTCTGATGACTCTAGCTTGTGTCAAGTTGACACACAAACACCAGGTAGTATAACGGATCCCTTGTCAACTTGACATATAAACACATCACTATTAAGCCACAACCCTCCCTTTCTTATTCATCCCCAAGATCTCACATTAAAAATATAAATAACTTTAAAAAGTCCCACAGTCTTTATAATTCAAACACATTAAATTTTTAGTAACCAATCTTTTAAAATATAAAGTCATTCAGAATTCAAAGTCTCAACTATGGGCTCCAGTAAAATATGTTCTTACTTCAAGAGTCAGTCACAAATCAAAGCAAAACAAAATTCCAACTGTCTAGTGTCTGGGATCCACTCACGATCTTCTGGACTCCTCCAAAGGGTTTGGGTCACTTCTCCAGCTCTGCCCTGTGCAGCACACAGCTCATGTAGGCTCCAGCAGGCTTCACTCCACTGCTACCACTGTTCTTGGTGGTCATCTCACAATACTGGCATCTCCAAAACACCGGGGTCTTCTGCAACTGGGCTGCCCTTTCACCAATAGCCTCTCATAGGTTCTATTGCATGAATAGAACTACTTCTATTCAAAGCATGAATAGTCATACTTTGCATGACCCCTTCAGTCCTAGGGGTCTGCCACTGAGGCTGCACCTTCACCAATGGCCTCTCCGGGCCTCTCATAGTGCCAAGCCTCAGCTGCTCTCCATGACCCTTTCATGCCTTCAAAATCAGTACCACCTGGGTGACTCTTACATACTACCAAGTCTGGCTGCCAGTAAGAGGTACATTCTTGGCCACCTCTGGAACACAACAACTTCTCTGTACTCTCAGGAAACACTTCCCAGAAGATTTCACCAGGGATGCTGGTCTCTTCTTAATCATCGCTAATTTCTTGGCTCCAACTGACCAGCATCAATTGTCTCAGTACCACTAAGGTTTCACTTCAGTAGTTCTGGTATCTTGTTAATCACCGCCCATTCTTCAGCCCCAGCTAACCAGAACCACAGGAGCTTAATTCAAAACAACAAATGGCCCTGATAGAGTCTTTAAACTTCCCTCTGAAACGTCAAAAGCCTGGCCTCCACCTTCTGTACTGCTCTCAATATTCTTATCTTTTCAGGTTCCCACAGAACATCCCACTGAGATCTCTCAACACTCAATGGCTCTCCTAGCCCAAAGTTCCAAAGTCCTTCCACAATCCCACGCAAAAACATGATCAAGTCTGCCAAAGCAATACCTCACTATGCTGGTACAAATTTGTCTTAGTTAGGGTTTCTATTGCCGTGATGAAACGCTGTGACCAAAAAGCAAGTTGGGGAGGAAAGGGTTTATTTGGCTTACACTTCAGCATTGCTGTTCATCACTGAAGGAAGTCAGGACAGGAACTCAGCAGGGCAGGAGCCCAGAGGCAGGAGCTGATGCAGAGGCCATGGAGGGTGCTGATTACTGGCTTGCTTCCCCTGGCCCAAACAGCTCACCTTCTTATAGAACCTAGGACCACCTGCCCAGGGGTGGCACCACCCACCATGGGCTGGGCCCTCCCTCAACGATCACTAAATGAGAAATGGCCTAACAGCTGGATGTCATGGAGGCATTTCCTCAACTGGAGGTCCTTCCTCTGATGACTCTAGCTGTGTCAAGTTGACACACAAAACCAGCCAGCACACCTGCATTGGGTCAAGTGGTAGTTTTGACATTGCATCCAAATTTTGCACCAGATGTGTGTGTACCACTGCTTGGGGCTTCACTGTCTGGCTTCCTAAAAGACTGGGCCAAGGACTGGGGAGATGCTCAGTGGATAAAGTGCTTACCACACAAGCATCAGGATCAGAGTTCAGCTCCCTTTGACCCATATAAAAGCAGGCAGGCATGGTGGCCCACTTGGAACAGCACTTGGGAGGCAGAGACAGGATTTATCGCTTGGGGGAGCTAGCATAGCCAGCTTAACAGAATTACTGAGTTCTGAGTTCAACAACAGACCTTTTCCTTGATAAAATAAAGTGGAGAGTGGACACTTGACATTAACCTCTGGCCTCTGCACACACATGCACACACACACACACACACACAGTGAACATGCCTACACACACAGTAAACATGCATACACACATACACACACACACACACAGTGAACACACATACACACACACAAACCAAAAAAAAGGAAGGAGAGAGAGAGAGAGAGAGAGAGAGAGAGAGAGAGAGAGAGAGAGAGAACACAAACTCTAATTACTTCCTGGCACTGTGTTCACACTTTCTTGTCTCTGCTGCCTTTCTATTTACACTGAGATTTCTTTCACTATGGTCCTAAAAGACCTTTTTGTGGAGCCTTCCCTACCCTAGGGACACCTCAGCAGCTGGAGGGGCAATCATTTCTTCTTTTCTGCTTGGCTCTGTTGGCCTTTCCCCATTCTCCATCACATCCACTGTAGGTCTCTGTGTCTATCAAACGGTGTTCTGAAGGGTTGGTGTTTGGGAGAGTTTCAGCCCCAGAAGTATGTGAGAGGGATGCAGTAAAGAAACTGCCAACATCACTGCTCCGTGGTATGGTTAGGAGGTTTTTATATTCGAGAGAGAACAGCCAGAGGCATCCGGAGAAGTCCAGAGCAGAGAGAAAAAGTAGACTGGACATGGATAGGGCTATCTGTGAGAAAGGGGAGAAGAACAGAGGGTAGAGAACAGAGAAAACATAATAAGAATAGAAAGAGCGGACTGGAGAGACCAGCTCAGAGGTTAAGAGCACTGGCTGCTCTTCCAGAGGTCCTGAGTTCAATTCCCAACAACCACATGGTGGCTCACAACCACCTGTAATGAGATCTTGATGTCCTCTTCTGGCAGGTAGGGATACATGCGGCAGAACACTGTATACATAATAAATAAAGCTTAAAAATTAGCAAGAGCAGAGAACAGTGGGGATAGCAGAGTTATAAAAAGGATGAGTAGCTGGGGGTGAGGCAGTTTAGAGTAGAAGAGGACCTGCAAAGATACATAGATAACACAGGGCCTCTTGCTCTGATAGTTTATAATAGAATGGTTTGTAAGATGGACAGAAATTAGCATTACAGGGGCTGAAGAAATGATGCAATTTCCTGCTTGCTCACAAGCATGAGGACCTGTATTCGGATCCCTAGCACCCACATAAAAAGCCAGGCATGGTGGTGCACACCTGTAATCCCAGCATGGACTTTGAAGTGTGTAACAGGTACTGGTGATTGATACTGAGGGAGCCTGAGGGTCAGTGTGTGCTTTGATATGCAACCACAGGTATATGTCAATGGAGAGCCATATGTCCCTTCCGCCAGAGGAAAAGGAAATTACTCTTTTGGCAGATGGAAACTGGTTGCATAAGTTTCTGAGGAATGCTGGCTTTTATCTAACCCCCAGAAACCCTATACTCCAGCACATTGAGCATGTTCTGGATATATGGACTGCCTTTTGGAGTTTGGGGAATTAGAGTTTCCTTTGGATCTGATAGTTAGCACCTCTGCCCTTTCCTCTTCAGACTCTGTATGCTTTTCAACCTCGATCTGCCTCCTCAAGGCTTTGTCCATTGCCACAACCCATCATCCCAGCTCCTGAGACACATGCAGTGTTCAGCTTCAGATACCAAATGAGTGTGTCCTGTCCCCTTCTCCTCAGGCCCGTCCTTCTTTCTGAGAGGTCCAAGTCAAAACCAGGTACATCATGTAAGATTATCCATCCCCAGCCGGGCGGTGGTGGTGCACGCCTTTAATCCCAGCACTCGGGAGGCAGAGCCAGGCGGATCTCTGTGAGTTCGAGGCCAGCCTGGACTACCAAGTGAGTTCCAGGAAAGGCGCAAAGCTACACAGAGAAACCCTGTCTCGAAAAACCAAAAAAAAAGATTATCCATCCCCTACCCAGTGGTTCATGGTCAGGGTCTGTGCATTCCAGCCCCCTTGAACTTTGAACAGGCCTTCATCCTCCCGCCCTAGTGACCACAGCTTCACGCAGGCAACTGCTCTCTCACTCTTATGGAGAGAATCTGCTGTCACACCCTCTGGCTAAGTCTTACTCCCCCGAGCGAATGCTGAACTTAGAAGGTAGTGAAACCTGTTCCCTCTACATAAATCCTTCCTCATTCCTCCTCCTCCACCACCTCCTCCTATTTTTCCTTTTCTCTCCCTCCTTCTCCTCTTCTTCTTTCTTCCTCTCCTCCTCTCCCCGCTCTCTCTTCCCCCTTCCAAGGGTGCCTTTTCTCGTGTATTATTTTTCCCATTTTCCTATGTATGTGTGATGTGAGTACTTTTGCATGTGTAGGAGTACATGTAGGGCACGTGTGTGCTCATGCATGTGGAGGCCTGAGGTGGATGTCAGAATCATCCTCCATCACTCTTGCACTCACTGAGGCTGGGTCTCTCAACCAAATCCAGAGCTTGCTGATATGCCATCTTGCTATGGAGATCCCAATCTCCATCTCCCAACGCTGGAAGAGCAACATGCACACCTGGCATTTATGTGGGTTCTGGGGACTGGACTGCATTTTGATTACTGAGCCATCCCTCCAGCCAGTGGTGGTCTGTCTAGGAACACTTCTTTCTATCTCCACAATTCACTAATATTCTCTCTCTCTCTCTCTCTCTCTCTCTCTCTCTCTCTCTCTCTCTCTCTCTCCCTTATTCTCCCCCCTTTAGGATTAATGATCATCTTATTAAGAGAATGAAGGCAGATTGGGGATAAATTATTGGGATTTACACATTTATTAAGACTTTTCTCACCAGACAGCCTTTGATGTGGATATGTTTTGATTGCATATTTATACAAAATAATGGGTTTCATTATAACACTATGTCTCTTTTCACCATGGCATCTAAAGCCATAGTATGATGCTAATTTCTTTGTGTGCCTATGTGTGAGCGCATGTTTATGTGTCTGCATACACATGTCTGTGGTGTGGATGTTCATGAACATCCACATCATGTGCATATGCTTGTGTATGTGGAAGCCAGAGGTCAACATCTGGTGACTTTCTCATTCACTTTATGCATACATGTATATTTATTAATATATATGTCTACAGATACACACACACACACACACACACACACACACACACACACACACACACAGGATCTCTCACTGAACCTAGAACTCACTGATTTGGCTACACTGGCCAGCCATCAAGCTCCAGGAATACTTCTGTTTCCACCTTCCCAGCACTGGGATTACAGCTGTGCACCACCATGCCTGGCTTTTTACATGAGCGCTAGGGATTCGAATACAGGTCCTCATGCTTGAGAGCAAGCAAGAAATTGCATCATTTCCTCAGCCCCTGTAATGCTAATCTCGGTCCATCTTAAAAACCATTCTAGCCGGGCGGTGGTGGCGCACGCCTTTAATCCCAGCACTCGGGAGGCAGAGCCAGGCGGATCTTTGTGAGTTCGAGGCTAGCCTGGTCTACAGAGCGAGATCCAGGAAAGGCACAAAGCTACACAGAGAAACCCTGTCTCGAAAAACCAAAAAAAAAAAACAAAAAAAAAACAAAAAAAAAAACATTCTATTATAAACTACCAGAGCAAGAGTCCTTGTATTATATATGCATCATCAACACCCAATGATGTGTCTGACACGTTAGGAAAAATGTTTTATGTGTTCTGGGCAGCTAATAAATGCTGTGTGTTTATTATCAGTCATAGTGAGAGGCAGGGGTAAAGCATGTCATGGAGCCAGGTGGGACATAGGGTCCCATTCCTAGGAACTTAATCACTTACTCTGCTGTGAGTGTTCAACTGCTGTTTACAAAGAGCTATTGTTACCTCTTGCTAGTAGCAGAAAGATGGAAGGTGTATGTGTAGTACACACGTGTGCTCATGTATGGAGGACACCAGCCCTTGGGGACAGAGGGCAGAATGGCAAGAAATGGAACAGAAAAGTCAATTTCTTTTATAACAAGTCTCTCTCTCCTCCTCCTCCTCCTCCTCCTCCTCCTTCCTCCAGGCACATCGTGGGTTTCTTCCTCATCGTCACCCAGCTGGGCTTCTGCTGTGTGTACATTGTGTTTCTGGCGGACAATTTAAAACAGGTACTCTAGACAAGGTGGGAAGGGGAGCACACAGAAGGAGGCTTCCCTACCAGGGTTTTGTCTACCACATTACTTCATCTGAGTCCTCAAAAACTCATCAATACAACATGGGAAGGGAAAGGCATGCTATCAGGTAGCTTGACCTCCCCCACCCTCCAGATAGCTACAGATTTCTGAGCCATTACCCTGTGTGTGTGTGTGTGTGTGTGTGTGTGTGTGTGTGTGTGTGTGTGTGTGTGTACATACTCATGCCATCTTAGGAGCCTATACTTTTTCCTCTTTAAAAGTTAATTATCTCAGGTGTTTTATTATAGCGATGGAAAGCTGACTATCATAACTGAGTCACATTTTGCCAGGTTCTTCCATTTTAAATAGTTTGGAGCAGTTCGTCACTAATAATGATCATAACATGATCTGTATTCGGTTGCTGAATATTTCCACTGTTTCATTTATTTATTTATTTATTTTGCTTTTTTGAGATAGGGTCTCATGTAGCCCAGGCTGGCCTCAAACTTATTATATAGCCAAAGATGACCTTGAATTCCTGATCCACTTGCCCCTACCCACCAACTGTAGGGATGTCAGGTGTGTGCCAGCATGCCTGGTTTATGCAAAACTTGAAATCAAATCCAGACTTCATGCCTACCCAGCAAGCACTCAACTAGCTGCGCCATATCCCCAGCCCAAGGATATTATTGTTTGTATTGTCTTTATTTTATTGTTTGAGGCAGGATCTCATGTAGCCCAAGCTAGCCTCAAACTCACTATGCAGAAGCTCTTTAGAAAGCAAGCTGCTATCTGCAAACCTTTATTTATGATCCCTTGCTCACAATCTGCATTTTTATCCACTGCCTATCAAAGCAAGCACTGTCTTAAGGGGGTTGCAAGCCAAGTGAGTAGTTCTAAAACGCAGTGGGCAAACTTCCATGTGATATCTGGGAGGCAGTTCAGGTGTTGGGAATGCACACTGTGGCTAAGAAGCACCATTATGAAGCCCTGGCATCAGAGAAGGCTGCCTCCAGGAGCCATATTCGAGCTGGGCATGCTTGGGTAGCTTGCAGAGTAATAGCAGCCAAGCTAGGGAGATAAACCATGAAAAAACTTCCAGGCAGGAATACGGGAGACTGGCCCAAAAGAAGCAATTCTACTAGTTATAGAAGACAGTGGTGGCTGCCTTGAGGAAGAGTCCTGACCACTGCATAGAGATCTTTTATGGAGGTCTGTGAGTGCCTGGCTAATTGTCTTAGTTAGGGTTTCTATTGCTGTGAAGAGACACCATGACCACAGCAACTCTTATAAAGGAAAACATTTAATTGGGGTGACTTACAGTTCAGAGGCTTAGTCCATTATCATTATAGCAGGATATGGCAACATGCAGGCAGTCATGGTGCTGGAGAAGGAGCTGAGAGTCCTACATCTTAATCTGCAGGCAACAGGAAGTGAATTGAACTAGATGTAACTTGAGCATAAGAGACCTCAAACCTGCCCCCACAATGATACACTTCCCCCAACAAGGCCACACCTACTTCAACAAGGTCATAGCTCCTAATAGTGCCACTACCTGTAGCTGAAGTTTTCCTGTGCTTGCCTGGCATCAAGGTCCCACTGCCATTTATAAAATTCCTGTGTCCCATGCAGTCCTGTAATTGCTCAGATCCAAGTAAACACACAGAGGCTTATATTAATTAAAACTGCTCAGCCATTAGCTCAGGCCTACCATTAACTAGCTCCTACATTTAAACTCAGCCCATTTCTATTAATCTATAAATCGCCACGTTTTCCATGGCTTTACCTATATGCCGTTACATGCTGCTCCCTGGACGGTGGACTGGCATCTCCTGACTCAGCTTCCTCTTCCCAGAATTCTCCTTGTCTGCTTATCCTGCTTATACTTCCTGCCTGGCTACTGGCCAATCAGTATTTTACTAAACCAGTGTACAAAAACATTATCCCACAGCAACTCCCTGTGAGCTTATGGGGCCAGTTACATTCAAACTACCACACTAATCATCTGGGGATGTTTCCTAGTGTAGGGAGGAATCATTAAACAAACAAAAGGGCAAAGGTCGGAGAGCTGGGTTGTAGCTCAGTTGGTAGACTGATTGCCTAACATTCCCAAATCTCTAGGCTCAGTCTCCAGCACCTCACAAACTGGGAATGTGGAGGCAGGAGGATAAGAAGTTCAAGGTTGTTCTCAGTACATAGTAAGTTTGAGGCCAACCTGGACTACGTGAGATCTTGCTCCCCTCCCCCCCCCAAAAAAAAAGCCAAGCCAAGAAACTCAGTTGGCACAATGCTTGCTCTGCATGCCTGACCCCAGGGTTCCACCCCTGCAACACACATGCAAGAAGCAGAAAAAAATTCAAGGGGTAACAACTCATATATCATGATGTGTGCTTAAGTTAAAATAAGGTTTCAAAATAAGAATGGACACAGTGATTGCCATCTTACAAAATAAAATGAATCTTCATCATGTAACTTGTGATGTTCTGTAGAAAATGCATGGATGGATATATTGGAGATGACCCCATGCTTCTCCACCAGTGCTCATGTCAGCAACAGCTTTACACTTTCTTCTTACATGATTCTAGATTCTAATTGTTCTGCGCAGAACCTGACTCACAGGCCAGCCCTCCAGCCTGTGACCTTCAGTTTTCCCCAGGCTGCATTCAGCAGCAAAGAGAATTCAGTACGAATAATCAATACCAGAAAAATGGATGCCAGGGAGCCAAGGCACCAGACCCCCCCCCCCAATATATATGCAGTTATCTGTCATTAAATTCGCTGTTTTGGTAGCCTCCTTTAAGGTAGTCTGGTGAAGAGGATTTAGAATAAGACATTTCATGAGCTGGAGAGATGGCATTTACTGCCAAGCCCGATGACCTGAGGTTGAGCCCTGGGTCCCATATAGTGCAAGGAGAGAATCAACTTTCATGTGTGTACCATGGGGTGCATACATGCACACACAAACACATCAATGAGTGTAAATGTTTCCTAAAATTAAAACCAAAAAGAAGTTTCCAATGCCCTACACTTGCTCGAGAGCCCCTGACTTTTTAATAAGAGAGCCTGGATCTGGGGAAAGCACTGAGTCCACCACGTGCTCAGATTTTTTTCCTCCTCTTGCTTTTCCCATCTCTTCCTCAGGTAGTAGAAGCTGTTAATGGCACAACCATCAGCTGCCACTACAACGAGACCCTAGTTCTGACGCCCACCATGGACTCACGACTCTACATGCTCGCCTTCCTGCCCGTTCTGGGCCTTCTGGTCTTCATTCGGAACCTCCGTGTCCTCACCATCTTCTCCCTGTTGGCCAACATCAGCATGCTGGTCAGCCTGATCATCATCGCCCAGTACATCGTCCAGGTTGGTGCACAGCATCCGCTAACTCCCCAGGAGACAGGGCCCTTGTATCCATATGAGACATCAGGCCCCAAGTTCTAAGATGGGTATGTTCCTCACCCTTCAGCCTAGGACCCACCTTGCTGTAACATTCTCTCTTTGTACCATCTCGTCTTTTCAGCTCTCTCATCCCTTCTTTGTCTCCAAATGACTGCTTTTAATACCAAACCTAGCTTTTTAAAAAGCTGTGTTTGCAGGGTTATGGAGCTCCATTAGTAACCCGTTTGTCACACAAGCCTGAGGACCTGAGTTGAGATTCCCGGAACCTGTCTAAGAGCCAGGGTGCTGTGGCACATGCTTGTAATTCCAGCACCGGAGGAGGGGAGTTGGGGTGAGCAGAGCAGGAACAGGAGGATCCCTGAGGCTGACTGACCAGCCAGTCTAGCCAAATGGATGGGCTCCAGGTTTAGTGAGAGACCCTGACTCAAAAATTAAAGTGGAGAGGGACCAATGAAGACACTTGACATTGACCTCTGGCCTCCACCATGTACCGACACATGTACATCACACCTGTATACACATATGCTACTTCTGCTTTATGTTTGGGCTATTCCAGGAATCCTCAATTATTAAAATGATTCTGTGTTTCTTTTAACACCCTGGGCCACAGGCTGAGTAGAGGATTTACTCCACCCATTCTGTTCTCTCCTTTAATCTACAGCTCAGAAAGAGAAAAGCAGACTTTCAGATTCAATTAACTGTGCAGGGCTCCCTAGAATATTCTATAACTACATTATGATAAGTTCTAGTACTCACACCCAGTATCCACTCATGGCTGTTCTTGGGCGCTGTTGGGTGTCACTGATCTGTAATGCATACAATATTGTTTAGAGACTTCTGGTAAACCTGCTTCCTTCATGAGACACTGATCTTCCATGCTTTGACAATGCCTGTATGTTCCTGCCCTCTGGCTCTTGGGTACTGTGCAATATTAAAGTCAATAATTATCATTTTTTTTTTTTAAAGATCTTTTTTTTTTTTTTTTTTTTTTTTTGGTTTTTCGAGACAGGGTTTCTCTGTGTAGCTTTGCGCCTTTCCTGGATCTCGCGCTGTAGACCAGGCTGGCCTCGAACTTCACAGAGATCCGCCTGCCTCTGCCTCCCGAGTGCTGGGATTAAAGGCGTGCACCACCACCGTCCGGCCAATAATTATCATTTTTACCTCATTCTAAAGGCTGGCTGAACTTTGTGGCATTCAATGTTCTCAAACCCTTTCCTCTCAGAATCCTTCTTGCTTAGGGAAGCTTGAGTGTGCCCATAGAGTGACAGTCTTGTATTTCTCTCTCCTGTAGGGAATTCCAGACCCCAGCCAGTTGCCACTGGTAGCAAGCTGGAAGACCTACCCTCTCTTCTTTGGAACAGCCATTTTTTCATTCGAAAGCATCGGCGTGGTAAGGTTGGAATGAAGGTGGCCTTTCTCTGGACCTGTGAACCAGTTTCTGGGAAGGAGCTATGAGTTCTGGTTTTCTGTGTGTTCTTGGCCGTTGGGTTAGACCTGTGGAAATCACACATGGGATAGAGCCACCTCTGGTCTCATTTGGATCGGTTGTCACCAGCAGACAAAAAGTAGGTCACAGCAGAGAAGCAATCAGAAGAATATTTTTGTCAATATGTCTACTCAGTGTTTATCTTCCCAGCAATATGAGTTTCCTAGTCTTCTTCAAATTCAAACTAGTCAACCAGACAGTGATGATGCATGCCTTTAACCCCAACACTCAGGAGGCACTGGCAGACAGATCACTGTGAGTCCAAGGCCAGCTGGTTTACAAAGTGAGTTCCAAGACAGTCAGGGCTACACAGAGAAAGCTTGCCTTGAAAAAAAGAAAACAAAAACAAAAAACAAACAAACAAAACAAACAAAAACAAAAATCAAGACTAGTCAAAAAAAAAAAAAAAATCTGGAGGCAGAGCCAGGCAGGGCTCTTGAGTTCAAGGCCAGCCTGGTCTACAGAGTGAGTTCCAGGACAGCCAGGACTGTTATATAGAGAAATCTTGTCTTGGAAAACAAAAAACAGGAAAAAAAAAAAAAAAAGACTAAGGATTGTACATATCTAAAATGAAAAGACTCCATAAATGATACAGGTGTTTTAGCCAGGTGGGGTGGTACATGGCTTTAATCCCAGCACTCAGGAGGCAAAGGCAGATGGATCTCTGAGTTCAAGGTCAGCCTGATCAACAGATCAAGTTCCAGGACAACCAGGGCTACACAGAGGAACCCTGTCTGAAACCACCCCGCCCCCTCAAAAAAAATATGGGTGTTTTAACCTGAAAAAGAGGTGTGTGTTTACAATCAATTGTAGGCTGGGATGTAGCTTAGCCAGTGAAGAGCTCCCCTGAGTGTCCAAAGACCTAAGTTCCATCCTCAGTACCACATAAACTGGGCATGATGGTGCAAGCCTGTAAACCCTGCATTCGGGAGGGGGAAGTAGGAGGATCAGGAGTTCAAGGTCGTCCTTAGTGCCACAGCATTTTCACAGGCAGCCTGAGCTACATGAGACCCTGTCTCAAAAAAAAAAAAAAAAAAGGTAATTCCTTTCCTCACTGTTGAAGGGCTGCATAACAATACTGAGACAAGCATCTTCTCGGCTTCATTCAGTTGCTCTATTCTCTGCTACTGCCTGCATCCCTCGCTCAGTGCTCATACAGCTTAGCAGCCACTGAGGGGTCAGGTCAGTGCCACCTCTCATCGGCTCACCCACTGGGGGCACCCGAACTGTCTCTAGTCTGTGACATCTGTGAGTAATGCTCCTTACTCCGAGAACTCATATACGGGTCGTTATGTAGATTTAACTTTTTCTTCTCTAGGAATAGGCTTCTGGGTCTCATAGTTATAGAGGGTTATAAGAAACTGCCCACGGGTTTCAGAAAGACAGTAATTTTGGTTGGATGTTTGTTTGTTCTTGCTCTGAGTGCTGGGGGCTGAAACTGGATCCCAGCAGGCTAGGCAAGTGGGTCTACCACTGAACTCCACCCCCGCCCCCAGCCCTGACTGGCATTTTTCACTTGGGTCAGACCATGTGAGCATTCTTGCCCTTCTGCATACGGGCCAGCGCTTGTCTGGACTGTCAGTTCAGCGTGGATGTGAGAGGATGCTGGGAATTGAACCCAGGACCTCATGCATGCTAAGCAACGCTCCATCACTGAGCTGTGCCCCCGGCCCCAATATATTTTTATTTCAACCATTCTAATAGATATATAATAGTATTTGATTGTGGTTTAATTTGCATTTTAGTAATAACTAGTGATAACTGGTTATGAGTATCATTTATACTTTTTTATACATCTTTAATTGTTTGTTTTTAGTAGTGTGTGCGAGAGAGTGAAGGTGTGCATGTGGGGTCAGGGGTCAGTTGTCCCCTTCACCTTTTGAGGTGTCTCTCTTACAGCCTCGGCTGCTCTTGGGCCCTCAGGCTAGCTGGTCCGTGAGCTTTCTGCCGATTCGCCACGATTACAGCTGTGTGCCACCACATCCAGCTTTTTGTGGGTTCGGGGAATTGAACTCAGGTCATCAGGCTCTCCCAGCGAGTGCTTTCCCCACAGAGCCATCTCATTGGCCCTCCTTCATGCTCTTTAGTTAGCACTTGGATGTCTTCTTTGTGAGCTATTCAAATCTTGTTTTGTTGTATTTTTTGTTTTTTGAGGCACGGCCTTGAGGTTTCCCTGACTGGCCTTGTACTCATGGGAATCCCCTTGCCTCTGCTCCCAAGCTGGGTGTATGCCACCATGCCCAGCCTGTACAAATCTTTTATAAGTACTTCTTCATCTGAGTTCACCAGCTTCTAGCCAATCTCCTTTTAATTATCCTCTGGCCAGAAAGCCTGGCTTTTGTCTCCCTATGCTTGCATGTACTTCTTGTGTTTCTTCCACGCGTTTCTCGGTGGCTTAAACACATACACACACACACACACACACACACACACACACACACACACACACACCCCAGAATGTGGCTCTGTGGCTGGGATTTGCCTTTGGGGATGTGGCCTGGCAGAAACAGAGAGAAACAGGAAATCAGGGTTCCTGTCACACTCTCCGTCCCACAAGGGTCCCTTTTCAGATCAACCTGCTAAGAAGAAAAGGTGTCCCATGGAGTTCCTTCCTCAACCACTGAATCATCCCAGGATTGGGGCCTCCCTTGAGTTTAAACTCATGGAGATAGGAAGAAAAAAATATCCTGAAACTCAACATTATGATGGCTATCCCCGTGCCAAAACTGGAAAATTCACCTTACACAAAAAGCAACCCAAGGACCAACAAGATGGCTTGGCCGGTAAAGGTGCTTGCCTCCAAGCCTGACAACCTAAGTTCAATCCTTGGGACCCACATGGTGGAAGGAGAGAACCGACTCCCGCCAGATTGTCCTCTGATCTCCGCACACACATGAAATAAATAAATAAACATAATTTTTAACATCTTAAAAAAAAAGAAAAAAACTCAAAATGGATCAAAGACATTAATGGAAGACTGGAAAGTCTCAGACCTCTAGAAGAGAGTGCTGTGGGGGTGGTCAGACACAGTGGTGGGTCAGGGACTGACCTTTCTGGGTACGACTCCAAAGGCACAGAGAACAAAAGTATACTGACAAATGGGGCTAAGAGCATCTTCAGAGCATAGGAAGGAGCGGAGGGAGACAGCCTTCAGAACAAGAGGCGCATGCTCACACGGCAGGGGGCTGACACCCAGGATGAGGGCTGACACCCAGGATGAGGGCTAACATCCAGGGTGTATAAGGGACCTGGCCAACAGCAACAAAGTAATCCAGCTGCAAAACCGGTGAATGACCGAAGTGGAGACTTCTAGAAGAACTACAAATGGCCATCAAATACATGAAAATATGCACCTTCTCATCAGCCATTGGGTGTGACGGTGAAGTATCTCCTCACTCCTGTCCAAATAGCTATTGTCATAAATCAGAAGCCCAAAGATGGCCCTGCAGTTAAGAGCACTGGCTGTTGTGGGAGAGAACCAAGATTCTCGTCCCAGCACCCACATCAGCTTGTAACTCCCGCTCCAGGAGATCTATCACCCTCTTCTGGCCTCCACAGATGTAACAATGAGTGCTAGAATTTCCTTCATTTTAAAATAGATTTATTTCTTTTTATTCTATGTGTCTGAGTGTTTTGCCTGCATGTATGTATGTACACTGCATATGTGTCTAGTGCCCACAGGAACCAGAAGAGGGTGTCAGATCACATGATGCTGGAGTTACAGGTGGTTGTAAGCTGCCTGATCTAGGTGCTGGGAACCGAATCTGGGTCCTCTACACGAGCAGCCAGTGCTCTTAACTGCTGAGCCCCAGAATTTCCTCCTTTTTAAAGGCTGTATAATATTCCACTGCATGGATGTACCACATTTTGTTTACTCATTTTCTAATGGTGGATGCTTGTCTGCCTCCCACCTTCTAATCATGAATAATATTGACATTCGCAAGAGCCTACAAACATCTTTTCAAGTCCCTTCTTTGACTCATTTGGGAACAGGCCAGAGGCAGCAAGCCTTTCTCTTCTCTGTGCTCCTGGTTGATACTGCTACTGCTATTGTTGTTGTTATCCTATCCTTACAATGTGATGTCCCTGTAGGTCCTGCCTCTGGAAAACAAGATGAAGGATGCCCGCCGCTTCCCAACCATTCTGTCTCTGGGGATGTCCATCGTCACCACCCTGTACATTGCCATCGGGGCCTTGGGCTACCTGCGGTTTGGAGATGACATCAAAGCCAGCATCACTCTTAACCTGCCCAACTGCTGGTACCTTCACGGCTCCTGGGTGGTCGGGATTGAGAGACGTGTAGAAATGTGTCACTCTCTTCCTCTCCCTATCAGAGCAGGGAGACCCAGGTCTAGAGACACTCCCACTGGGAGAGATGGAGCCACCACTAGAACCTTGGGCTACAGAGGTGTGTCCGCACAGCCTCCAGGTTGAGCCGGGTCTTGGTAGCTTAGTGCGAAGGAAACACAGCTCAGAGGAAAGGACGGAAGGAAAGCGAGGGTCCTTGGTCACCTTGGGGGAGAAGACGGGAGTGCTGGAGGAAGACCAAAGGCTTCTGTCTGTGGGATGGAACCTTCTGGTCCCCCTTCCCAGGCTCATGACTAAGTGTCCGCTGCCACTGGACACCCCCACCCACCCCAAGCCAGGGGAGCTAGTGTTGAAAACTTGAAACAGGGCTGTGGAGAAGGTTTAGCAGGTAAGAGAATTTGACATGCAAGCAAGAGCACCCCGAATCCAATCATAACACCCCCCAAAAAAAAGCCAGGCACGTGGCATGTGCCCATAATCTTAGCACTGGGAAGGAAGAGCCAAGAGGACCCCAAGGTTCACTGCCCAGCCAGCCGGGCTGAATTGGTGAGCTCCAGGTTCAGGGAGAGATCTTGTCTCCAAAAACAAAGTGCAAAGGAACTAAGGAAGACATCTGACATCAACCTCTGGCCTCTACATGCGTGTGGCACACACACTCACATACATACATATCACACACACACACACACACACACACACACACACACACACACACACACACACGTTTAACTCCCTTGAAGGCTCGCCCTTCTCTCTGCCCTCAGCTTCAAGCCCGCCCACGACCCTGCTTCTCCTTTCCTGTCTCCACACAACCCACAGATAACATCTTTCCCTCTCAATTATTCAGGACTTGGAAGGTCTCCAAACTAAGCTGAGCGCTTGTTGAGGGCTCCTGATATACCACGTACTTGGGGGGCACAGACAATTCCTAGACTCTAATCACAGAGGACTTTAGACCCAGGCTTTGGGACCCTGGCCACTTACCTGTTGAGTCTTCCTGGGAGAAGTATCTAGTGTCAGCCTGTCTGTTCTCACTTCCCAGAGTGGTCTGTCAAGGCACCACGTGTGCACGTGCTCAGGGCTGCTGGCCTCTCATCTACATGGCCCTTCTCTCTGCTACCATCATACCCTTCATGCTTCTCTGTTCTCTCCACTCTGGTGAGACTCCTCTGTACTCGGAGAAGGAAACACAGACCCAGGGGACTGTCCCAAAGTCCGAGGCTGCTGTCCCCAGGAGGCCAGGTGTGGGGGTGTCAGGCCATGGAGAACATGGCTGTATGTCTTGCAGGCTGTACCAGTCAGTCAAGCTCCTGTATGTTGTCGGCATCCTGTGCACCTACGCCCTGCAGTTCTACGTCCCGGCGGAAATCATCATCCCCCTTGCTGTCTCCCAGGTGTCAAAGCGCTGGGCACTGCCTGTGGATCTGTCCATCCGAATCGCCATGGTCTGCCTCACATGTGAGTAGAACAGTCTCAGGGAGCCTCCTGGCCATTTCCCGAGAAGTGTGTGTGTGTGTGTGTGTGTGTGTGTGTGTGTGTGTGTGTGTGTGCACATTCATATGTGTGCATACATGTAGAGGCAGAGGACAACTCCGGTGACATTTTTCAGGTACTACCACCTTTTTTTTTTAAAAAAAAATATGGTCTCTCATTGGCCTGGAACTTACCAGTTAGGCTAGGCTACCTAGCTAGCAAGCTCCAGAGATCAACTTGCCTATGCCTCCCCAGTGCTGGGGTTAAAAGTGTATCCCACCATGCCAGGTTCTTTTTAACATGCGTTCTAGGGATCCAGCTCAGGTCCTTGTGCCTACAAGGTGGACACTTGACTGAGCCCTCTCCCCAACCCCCATTCAAACCATTCTTACATGTGCCCTAATTAGACAGATGTGCTGATGCCCAGCCAAAGGAAGGATTCATTGATATCCAGTGTGTTAAATAATAATCAGGATACAGAGTGTGCAAGGCACTGTGGTAAACCCTTCCTCGGATATATTTCATGGCACTTATTCAGTCCCCGTGAGAATGCTTGTAAAGGACGACACTGTCAAGTAACTGACCGGTGAGTGATGGGAGCTGGGGACATGGCTTAGTTTCTAAGTATTTGCCTAGCATGCATTCATTCTTCAGAACCTCATAAAGAGGGTGTGTTGATGCATTCTTGGGATCCCAGCGATCTGGAGGTGGAGTCAGGAGGATCAGAAGTTCAAGGTCACCCTTGGCTACATAGCAAGTTCAAAGCCAGCCTGAGTTACATGGGATGCTTTCTCAATAGTTAATAGTAGTAATAAAGGATAGTAAGATGGCTCAGTTGGCAGACGCTTGCTCCCAAGCCTGCCAACCTGAGTTCAGTCCCCGGAACCCACATGGTGGAAGGAGAGAATCAACTCCTGAAAGTCACCTCAGACTTCTACACACATGCTGAGGCACACACTCCACATACATACACTCAATAAATAAATGTAACTAAATTAAAGAAATATATTAATGAAGAAAAGCAAGCAGGAGTCAAACCCGGGTCATCAAAGTCCAGAGCCAGCACCTCCCACCTCCAAGGCTGGCACTGAAGGTAGGATCCAGGGAGAATGCTCAGGCAACAAGTGCTATTGGTCCCCCAGGACTTCGTGTAAATTTAGGCCAACATTTAAAACAAGCCCCATACCCAGGCTCGTGCAAGCAACCCTAATTAAATCCAGAAGGTCATTTTTAAAAAGACATGAATGTGGCTGGGGGCTTGTTGAGAAAAAGAGGTCAGGGACAAGTGGGAGAGGGACAAGAGAGGGTAGTCGGGGGTGAGTATGACCAACATACAGTATATACCCACAGGAAATTGTCAAAGGATAAAAAATGAAAATATGCACAAAAATCATTTGACAGGGAAAGAGATGAGAACACACATGCATAAAATAGTAGTAACTGAAGATCATTTGAAGCTATTGACATTTGAACAGAGGTTGAGTAAAAATTGTGACTAGCTAGGGTGTTCTGGAAACACAGCCCGCCCACCCCACCCCTCTACACGCACAGCTGTCTGCAAGGCCAGCCCAACAGAAGGCTAGCATTGTCATATTGGAATTAAGGAACCATCTGAAACTGGCCTGTCTTCCATTCTCTTTGGTTTTGGGGAATGGTGGGTACTGCTAGGACCCCGTGCTTATGAGTCAAGCCTGCTTCCTTCATTACCTGGGTGTACGTTGCCATCACTTGGACTCTCCTGGATGCAACTCACAACTGAACACTGTGTTTTCTCTTGATAATCTCTGAAAGAACCCCAGACACTGAACCTAAGTGAGCAGAGAAAATCCCTCCCAACAACCCAACAATGTGAACACGTAGTGTTGTGGGGAACCCACCAGCTTGTAGCTGATTGGAAGTCTTTATTCCAGCCAGCTGGGACTATACTCAGGGATTCAGGGACCCAAGTGTAGCCCCGAATACTTAGAGCAAGAGGACTTTAAAGGCAAAATCCACATCTCTGTGCCTCACTCTGGAGCTGAAGTGGGAGGGTGTTGCACAAGCAGGATAGTTTAACAGAAGCTGAGGTAAGTTAGCTGGGCATCCTGACCTCAGGTTGCTGGAATAGAGTTGGGTCATTTTCCCCAGAATTCTCCATCAAGGAGTTCAAATTCTAATTAAGCCTGACATGGCCTCAGCAAGAATACAAGATGGAGGAACTTCTGCTCTGTCTTGCCCTGTCACACTCAATCTGGACAACGGGAATGAGCGGCATCAACCATTAATGTGTCACCCCTGAGATAAGAACAGGTGCCCTGGGAGCTCTCCACCTTTGCCTTCTTTTAAATTTTTTTACATTTATTTATTTTGTGTATCGTTCACATGTGCATGTTGACACAGGTGTATAGGTCAGAGGACAACTTTTACCCCGTGTGTCCGGGGGTCAGAATCAGATCATCAGACTTAGCAGCACGTGCCTACACCCACAGAGTCATCTCCCATTTGCTTGTTGTTGTTGTTTTAAGTTTTCGGTTGTTGTTGTTTTGTTTTGTTTTTGTGGGGTCTGGGTATGTATCCCTGACTAGCCTAGATCTTACTGTGTAGACCAGGCTGGCCTGGAATTCACGGATTCACCTGCCTCTGCCTCCCAAGTGCTAGGACTAAAGGCAGGCAACACCACGCCCTGCCTTTTTTTTTATTTATTTCATTTTGTCCCTTTTTATACAGTCTCATATAGCTTAGGTTGGCCTCGAACTAAACTAGGTAGCCAAAGGAAACCTTGAGCTCCTGATCCTCCAGCCTTCACCTCCAAAATGCTGGGGTTGTAGGCATGTGTCACCATGGCAACCGGGGATAGATGCCAGGGATAGAACCAGGGCTTCCTGCATGCTAGGCAGGCATTCTTCCAACTGAACTACATCCCCAGCCCTCAACTTTTATTTGCAAAACTGAACATCTGAGGGAGGCTTGGTTTCTTTTAAAGGTGACTTCAATAACAACCTCTAAAGGCATTGGCTTTAAAGCTGGGATTCTCCATCTGTCCCCCTTCCTCTCCCATAGGCATGCTGGCCATCCTCATCCCACGCCTGGACCTGGTCCTCTCCCTGGTGGGCTCCGTGAGCAGCAGCGCCCTGGCCCTCATCATCCCGCCCCTGCTGGAGGTGACCACCTACTATGGGGAGGGCTTGAGCCCCCTGACCATCATCAAGGATGCCCTCATCAGCATCCTGGGCTTCGTGGGCTTCGTGGTGGGGACCTACCAGGCCCTGGATGAGCTGATTGAGTCTGGGAACTCTCTCCCCGTGTCCAACGCCACTGTGCTTGTTCAGTGACAGAGCCTCCCCTCACCCACGGTGACGTACGTTGTCTATTGTTTCACTTCGCCTTTTCTCTGGTCCACGACGTGAAAAAACAGGACTCACCAGATACAAGGTGTAGCTGGTCATTAAAAAAACAAACAAAAACAAAACAAAAAAAGCCAAAAGCAAACCTTGCTCATCCTGTAGTCTTCCTCACAGTGGAGAGCTCTCCTACGGAAGCTTTCAGATTCCACCCTCCTGGTTTTTGGTCATTTATCTGATTTCATGCCTTGGGTGGAGCTATGCAAAAAGCAGCCACTAGGGGGCAGCAAGGGCCAGCTTTTGGAGGTCTCCGCCGGCTCAATCTTTGGTAAACAGGTCACTTCCTTTTCCTGGCAGTGACTGGGAACACTTATGATGCTCACCCCAGCATCAAGATAGAGGGGGCTGAGGTGAGTCACAATGCTCAGGTAAAAAGGCACCGTCTGTGTTACAGATAAGGGCATTGAACTTTCTAGACCACGCAAGTTTTAGCCCAACTCAGAAGTCCAGCAATGAGTAAGAAAAAAGCCCGGGTCAAGCTTATGAGCCAAGGGCAGTAGACACAGACATCACTGGAGTAGGTTTTTATTTCTGAATTCTTGCAATGAACATCCTCAATTACCTACTGGGCACAGACATAATACACAGTTCTTATATAATAGTTTAAAAGTGTTATAAATACCCTGTGACAATGTAGTGTGGCAGCTTCGTCTACCAAATGGTGGTCTGCATGTCATCTTGTAACTGGCTTTGGCTGTCAGTAAATGTGGTATAAATGGAAATTTGGTGATGTTTTCTACCCTGAGACTGCCATCTCTTTCAGCTCTGTGGAGCTGACTTTTTTAGGGGTGTGTGTGTGTCCTCAAAGGCCACAGGAAGATATCAGCTCTCCTGGAGCTGGAGTTACAGGTGGTTGTGAGTGAACTCAGGTCCTCCCCAAGAGCAGCAAGCACTCTTAACCACTGAACCACCTCTCCAGCCCCTAATCTTATTGTTGAGACCTAACCGGCTGTAACTAAATCTTGGAATGCACATAACATAAGAAACACTGATGTAAGGGACAGATGCCAGCAAGGGCTCATTAGCAATTATCCACATGGTCTCAACTACTCATGAGCAGAGCTGAGTGACAGCTCTCTTTTCAAGTTGTTAGTATTGTCTGGTTATTCAGACATAGTCATGCGTGTGCACGTGACTTTTCCCCATCTCCACTGAAGAACCCTCCCTCCCCCTCCCCCTCTTCCTCCTTTGAGGCAGGGTTTCCTTGCTATGCGGCCGAGGCTGTCCTTGATTGCCTTATCTTCCTGCTTCCCTCTCCCGGGATTACAAATGCGTGCCACCACACCCAACTCAACCGCCCTTTCTTTAACTTTTGGGGCTCGCTGTTGGTTCAGGGAGTACAGAAGATCGTGTATAACCACCTTGAAGACACACCCACAGGTCAGGTGAGGTTTCCAGACAGGGTTGGCTGAGAAGCGAAGACCCATCTTGGATATGGGCAGCACCATCCCATGAGCTGGGCTGTGAACTGAATAAAAAGGAAGAAACAAGCTAAGTGTGGGCATTCCTCTCTCTCTGCTTCCTGACTGTGAATGCCATGTGATTAGTGCCTCATGTTCCTGCCACCGTGCTGTCCCCCCCATGATGGACTGTGTCCTCAAACTGGGAGCCAGACTAACCCCTTCCTTCCTTGAGTGGCTTTTGTTGGACCTGTGGTCACAGCAGTGAGAACAGTTCCTGAGGTATGGATATACCGCTGTGTTCAGATGAGCCAGGCTCAGAAACATCAGTTAGCTGAAGACCCATCATAGAGAGAAGAGGGTGTGGAACCCAGGCATTTGTCGTCATAGCTCCCTGCTGCTCTGCCAGGCCTAAAGGTCTTTGAGCAAAGTGAACGTAAAGTTAAAAAGAAAGGAGAAAAATTACATTGTATTTCTTTATTGTGTGTGTGTCTGTGCACATATACAAATGTGTCATGGGGTGTGTGGGTGTGTGTGTGTGTGTGTGTGTGTGTGTGTGTGTGTGTGTGTGTGTAAGTCAGAGGACAACTTTGAGAATCTGTTTTCTCCTCTCTCCATGTGAGTCTCAGGGATTGAACTCAGGTCATCAGGCTTGGTGACAAGTATTTTTACCCACCGATCCATTTCACTGCCCCCCCACCAAAAAAAAAAAACCTGAGACAGGGTCTTGCTCTATAGCACTGGCTAACCTGGAACTTCCAGTGTAGACCACGCTAGCCTCAAACTCACAGAGATCAGGTTGCCTCTGTCCCCTAACCTCCACCCCATGCACCGCCATGCCCAGTCATCCTAAAAGAAGTTTCTGGAAGAGTCTTAGAAACTGCACAGCCCTGTGAATGCACAGTGACCCCTGTGCTTAGTGATAATGGCCTGCACGGTGACAGTGGTAAGTTTTCCCATACATGGACTATTACCATAGTCTTCCAAAAGCAGAATTGCCACATGGTGTTGGTGGCTGTCTGGGGGGGGGGACATGTGCCAGCACTCAGTCACTCTGGAGAAGACTGTTGAGTCTAGGGTGTGATTCCTTCTTCCCCATCTGAGTTTTGCCTTCCTGAAACCTGCGCACGGAATTTGTGACCTGTGACCCTGCTCCTTTGTGTTCTTAGCTGAGTGTTTATTCTGTCCTCCTACACCCTGCTCAAGTTCAGACTCCTTAACACAGAACCACAGGAAAGAGGAAGGCCTAGTCACCACAGGGGGGACTGTCGAAGGGTTCTGCCACTGAAAATGGGTATGTTTGAGTTCCTCAGAACAGAAGAGCAAAACCACCATGCAACCCTGCCGGACTCTTCTATTTTTCGATATAATATTTGCATTAATTCCTTGAGAATTTCACACATGCGTACAATGTATTTTGAGCATATTCTCCTTTTCCCTCATGACTTAGTTGGGGTTTCTATTGCTGCAAAGAAACACCGCGACCAAAAAGCAAGTTTGGGGAGGAAAGGGTTTATTTGGCTTACACTTTCACATCATAGTCCATCATTGAAGAAAGCCAGAACAGGAACTCAAGCAGGGCAGGACCCTGGAGGCAGGAGCTGATGCAGAGGCCACGGAAGGGTGCTGCTTACTGGCTTGCTCTCCATGGCTTGTTCAGCCTGCTTTCTTACAGAACCCAGAACCACCAGCCCAGGGATAGCCCCGCCCACAATGGACTGGGCTCTCCCCTGTCACTCACTAATTAAGAAAATACCTTACAGCTTGCCTACAACCCAATCTTAGGGAGGTATTTTCCTAATTGCGGTTCCCTCCTCTCAGATGACTTTAGCCTGTGTCAAGTTGGCATAAAACTATCCAGCACATCCCCTCAATCCTTCCAGATCCACCCTCACTCTCCACTTCCTCCCCATCTTGCTTCTTCTTCTTTTTAATTACCCACTGAGTCCAACTTGCACCACCCACACACTCGTGGGTGTGGGGCCACCCATGGAGCATGCGCATCTTATTACGGTCTTAAAACTGGCTCTTCCTCCCTTAGAAGGTGTCAACTGCCAAGTAGCTCCTCAGCTAAGGGTGAAGGCTTGTGTGTGTATATGAGAGAGAGAGAGACAGAGCAACAGAGACTGAGAGAGAGAGAAGAGAGAGAGAGAGAGAGAGAGAGAGAGAGAGAGAGAGAGAGAGAGAGATTTCCTTTGCCATTGAGGAGTAAAAGGGACTCACAGTTACCTTCTGTGGCGGGATTAAAGGTTGCAGGGAACAAGTGTCTCTCAAGGTTGTCACAGCGAGGGTACAGCTCAAGGGTGTGACAGTGGTGCCCTCATAAGCAAAGCCTCCAGACCACCCCCATAGACACTCGATGAAATCACAGCGCACCAGCTCTGGGAAGCAGCTTCAATACTGTGCTGATGCCCTGCCCATTCTTCCTCTTCCTCGGCCCCCAAAGATCGGGGTGACCCTTGACTACTCCCTTTCTTTTATACCTCACATATAAAGTCCATCAGCACATCCTCTGGGCTGTCACATTTAAAACAGTACTCACCAGCCAGGGGTGGTGGCACACACCTTTAATCTCAGCGCTCGGGAGGCAGATGCAGGTGAATTTCTGTGAGTTCGAGACCAGACTGGTAAGAGAGAGAGAGAAAGAGAGAGAGTGTTCCAGGTCAGGCAGGGTTACGAAAGAGACCCTATCTCAAAATGTAATGATAACAACAACAGTAATAATATAGTATCCAGAGGGGGTGGGGAGATGGCTCAGCAGGTAAAGGACTTGCCGCCAATCCTTACAACCTGAGTTGGGACAGCAGAACCCGCATGCTGAGAGAACTGACTCCCACAAGTTATTCTCTGACCTCCCACACATTGTGGCATGTCCCCAAATAAATAAATGAATCTTTTTACAAAAAGAAAAAAGAGGTAAATTTAAAAAAAAAAAAAAAGTAATTGTTCAGAATTAGCCCACTTTGTCTCCCTACCGTCTCGCTTTAAATCACTGCTCACTGGACAGGAGCTCCCTGGGTGATTCCAGAGGTTACCTTTTCCTTGTTAAGACCAGAAATAGTGTCGGGTGGTGGTGGCACATGCCTTTAATCCCAGCACTCAGGAGGCAGAGCCAGGGGGATCTCTGTGAGTTCGGGGCCAGCCTGGTCTACAGAGTGAGATCCAGGACAGGCACCAAAACTACACAGAGAAACCCTGTCTCTAAAAAACAACAACAACAAAAGACCAGAAATAACTGACAGAAGTAGTCTACGGTAGAAAAGGTTCATTTTGGCCTGTGGTTCCAGAGGGCTTGCAGTTCATCAGATTTGGGGTGTTTGCTTGTTGAGATGGGGTCTCACTATGTGGCCGTCTGGCCTGAAAATCACTATGTAGACTAGTCTGGTCTCGAACTCACATAGATCCACCTGTCTCTGCCTCCTGGGTGTTGGGATTAAAGTCATCTGCTACCATGCCCCAAACAATCTGTGTGTGTGTGTGTGTGTGTGTGTGTGTGTGTGTGTGTGTGTGTGTGTGTGTGTGTGTGTGTGTGAAGAGCTCTCACTGGCCTAGAGCTTTCCAAGTAGTCTAGGCTGGTTAGTGAGCCCTAATAATCCTCCAATCTCCACCTCCCTAGCACCATGATCCCAAGTGTGTGTCACCACACCTGGTTTTTTTTTTACATGGGTTCTGGGGATTGAACTCAGGTCCTCATGCTTGAACTGAGCCCTCTCTCCAGCCCACAAATAGCTTTTTAGAAGTGTCCATTTACCCCCTTCCTAATTAGGTGGCAGTCCACACTTGTCCTCCTGTGCAGAGGATCTGAGCAGTTGGCATTTAAAGCTGGCACAAGCCAGTGTTTACCTCCAGCTGGAGAGATGCTGGTCCATGTGGCACTCTGCATCCTGGGCAGCAGTTTATTGCCTGGGCAGCCTCCATTGTGAGGTAGCTGGGGCTTGTTCTTGCCAGAGGCAGCGAACCCTGAGCCTGAGCCCACAGCGAGGTGCCAGAACTTCCAGGCTAATGATCCCTTCCTCCTCCTCCCAGTCGGTGTTCCCTGTGGACCTGTCATCAAGGGCTGAGCTGGGGGACAGGCTGAAAGTGTGTGCGTCCTGTCACGGCAGTCCTGAGGGGGATCCGTGACTCTGTCCTAGGTGCCTCAAGAGCCCGGAGAGGCACCCTCAACTCCAGCTTCTCCAGCCACTGTCCTCTGACTCCCACACTCAGGACTACACCCCAGGCATCAGGAGCCAGCACCCAACACCTGCTGTGTGGCTTCTCCTGATGAAAGACCACGGAGGGGCTCGTTCCAGCCTGCTGTAGCTGAGAGCCATACCCCTGCCACCTGCTCACCATGGGGAAGATGTCGCTGCTCAGGAAAGATGACAACTGTGAGCGGAGTTTGTTCAGCGTGTGTAAGACCGCCTCGAAAAGCAGCAGCAGCAGCAGCAGCAACAGCAGCAGCAGCAGCAACAGCCTTGTCTCCCCACAGAAGGACCCTCCAGAGGAAGCCGATGCACTATTGTGAGTGGTCCCATTACCCTCCCAGGGCAAGCACAGCTGGACTTCAGCTCCAAAGGCCCTCCTCATGTTCCCCATGACACAGCAAAACTCTAGACCTAAGAATATGACTGTAGCTCTGGGGGGTTGTCAGGGAACACCATATTTCCTAATT